AACAAATAAAAGAGCTTCCAACTGAATTTCTTAAGTGACAGACCTCTGCTCTGGAAACCAGAGAGGAAGTCAGCTAACTGTGTAGTGTTGCAGTGTTCGTAAAACGAACAGCAGTCAGGGACTTGAAGGACTTTGCATACACAGGGTTTTATTCCTGGACCATGTTCTGTGGCCACATGGAGGGACCCAGTGACTTTAGAATAACCGAGTCTGTTTGCTCTTAAGAAGCAGGCTCGCAAGTCGACAAGGAAAGGCAGGGAGACAGATGGCCGGCTATTGTGTTACAGCCATCATCTGCCGGGCAGTGAACAAATATTAAGTGAATAATATATATGTAATTGGTGTACAAGTACAGTTGCAACATTTCTAATACACTGAAGGATGGCTACTTCTTGAACATTTGTATTTCACTGAACAACATTGAAATGTTTCTGTTTATAGGGTTAATCCATTTTTGAACTGCTGTAAAATGAACATTTTTTTCCTCATTTTTGACACCACTGTGCAATATTTTAAATTGAAGTGGCCCGTAATGGCCCCTTTTTATTTTCCATAACAACACGAGCACTAAATTATAGCTGTGCAATTATGTAAACAATGGAAATGCTTCCAGAATGAATCCTTCCTTTAAAATTTTCATTTTGTGTAATTGTTGGAAGGTTTGGAGCCATAATAAACAAAATTATTTTACACATTTATCGTTCTAAAGGTCAATTATAAGAGAACTAAAGGAACAACACTATGCAAAATGAATAACCCAATTTCTATTGCCGTCACCATATGTTTTTCTTATCACTTATGGTTTTCCAGTGACTGTGTACATAGCTTTCAATTAAAGCGATTCATTTGCCAGGCTGAATGCAGTTTGTGTTTATAGAACCGTGCTGCGGAGGAGAGGAAGCAACGCGCCTCTGTTTGAATTACCTGATTTTTTGCAAGATCAGTGATGAAACAGATGTTCTCACCAGTCACTTTCTCAGAAACCAGGACCTTTTGATAAGCTGCAGATTCACAATTATTGTACAATCAAGGTTCCCACTCACTGTGTAGCATGTGCATGAAACTTTAACCAAAGTAAGAAGGAAAAAAGCCTCATTTGGTGGCCCGCCCACTGTATTTTAACATTTGGCAGGGGCAATTTTATTTCCCCTGAACAGAAACATGTGAAAAAGCTTTCCAGTGTTTCACACACATCAACTGTATCGAATAAAGCTAATTCCTATTTGAGACTCCGTTTATCCTTGAACTCATTGTTTAGCTCATTAGTTAGTCTTTTTAAGAGTGTAGAAAAGAGGTTAATTCTTGCCACTGGAGTATTTTGTTTAGGGTAAGGTCTAGAACTCTGCAATCAAGAAAGTAAAAAATCAAAAGTAGAATTTCCCTGTTTTTGCCATTTGCCTTATAAGCTGTACTCTCCCTTTCTCATTGCTTGAGTGCTTTGCTAAGGATGGTTGGTACTTACTGCTGCAGCTTCTTCATATTTGGGTAATGTGTAATCCCAGGGGCTTGTTTGGGCCACAGTTGAATTGTTTTAAAATCTTTCTGTAGATCAGTAAAATAATAGTTTAAATTTGCAAGTTAAATCTGTGATAAAAGTTTTATGAAATAGAACTCTTCAGTTGTTATTTGAACAATGCTGTTTTCTGTGGTGCTTTTCAGTTTACAAAGTCTCTGTTCACATCTCCTGACCCCTCAAATCCTCTGTTTTGCGGGGATCCTCCCAGCTTGTGGACGAGAGACGGGAAACACAAGCGTACTGTGGGCTGCCACAAGCATACCATGGATGGGCTTCACCCAGTCTCTCTCTCTCTATCTCTCTCTCTCTCTCCCTCTCTCTCACACACACACATAACACACACACATGCACATACACACACAAAACACAGGCATGCCACGGGCTACCCCTAGTCACATACACACACGTGAAGCCTGAGCATACCATGGGCTTCACCCAATCACACACACGTAAAACACAAGCATACTGTCAGCTGCCCCCAATGTTTCACACACACAGTCCAAGCCCTGGCAACCTTACTTCTGGAGGCCTTTTCACCTTGACCAAGTTGAAGGACAGGATGCAGTCCTGAATAGTATGTGAGTCACTTGGTGAAAGTGATGGTCCTTTCCTGGTCTCTGCCAGTCCTTGTGACACGTGCAGCCAAGCCAGCTAGAGCAAATAAAGGAGCTGCCCTTACACCAGCCACCCTGACATTGCAACTTGCCCATGTGGCCGTGAGAGGTGGCCCGAAATTATGGCCTCCATCAAAAAGTGATATTTTCAGCGAATATTTCACAGCATTGATTCACTGTTACTGTATTGATTTTAGGAATATTTTGTTTATGAGCAAAGATTAAATTTCCTAAGATAATTTCATTTAAGTTTAAAAAAAAAAACAAAAAAGTATTCACTTTGAAAACCTGTTAGGCCAATGGCATTCATTTTAGATGTGGACATGGTAAATGGTGTGTGCCATCACATCTGGTGGGTGCATAAAACCTGGAGCCTGGGAAGGGTTCAGAATCTCTAGATTTTGCCTTCTGCCATTCCAATTAGAACTGTGGGGTTGGTGAGTGGAGGGCCAGGCGTAACAGGACCGCTGTCCTGAACAAGAGGAGTGGAGCTTTTTGTGGAAACCCCCCCTTGCAATAGGCAGCTGCTCTCTCAGGGCACCCTGGGATTGTCCCTACGTTCAAATGTTCCATCTCCATGTAGATAAGCAAAGTAAGCAGGCATATGGCCACAATTTGGCTGACTTGACACAAGGGTCATCTCTTTAACCCCCACATTAACCCTACCCCCACTCTATCTTTGGCGCTTGTGGCCCAAGCCCTGCTTCTCCTCAGGGCACTGTCTTACTTGGGTAGCAGGGTAGGGCAGGGTCGCCATCTGCTCCTTCCGATCTTCTTGCCTGTAGAAGCAGGTTCCATTGAAGTAGCTGGCTCTAGTCCAGGGGGAGGGAGAGCCATGTGACTCGATGGTGGCAATGTGTGTATCCAGGGTCTCCAGCCAGCATCAACATCAACAACATGCCCCATTTTACAGATCATCACTTTCACATGTATGAATCAGACAGGACAAAATGGCTCCCACTGAAAAGTTCGGACTCTGGCCTGTTAACATATTTCATTCCTGATTCTCATGAACTTATCATTTTTTTAAATTAAAACTTGGAAATTCCACTGGTGGAAATGGCTCGTTTTAAGTCAGTGCTGTGGATTTTTTTTTTTAAACCCACAGGCCTCAAGGTTTAGGTCCTCTTCTCAACAGATGGAATTAGCACAAACATAGCAAAGTTAACATCATGGTTGTTTGCATTATTAATCTTCAAATACATGGCATTCTGCTACCTTGCTAGCCAGGTTTGCACAAATCCTTTCATTGCAGCATATGTCAACAGAACCGTGCCTCCATCTGCTGCTGGAGAGCTTGATGCCTGATATTCCGAGACAAGGCCCAGCACAAAGCGTACCTCTGTGAGTAATTACAGGTGTGTGGTGAGGAGCGCAGGGCATTAATCAGAGGCTTAATTATGAAAAAGGTAGATCTTTTGTTCCCCTCATGGAGCATGAGCCTACCACACACTCGCCTAACTGCAGCATCCATCTGCTCAGGCCCTGAGAATGTTTGCCTTGGCTGATAGGGACCCTAAAATGTATCACAGGATGTGATTAAACTAGGGGTAAACATTAACCTAGGAGAAGCGTGCTTCAGGTTTTTCTTCCCTTTCTTCCTTCCTCTCTTTTATTTGTGTGTCTATTTGTTTATTTTTAGTGCAGGGAAAAAAAATTGCTGAAATGCTAAAACTTTAAATCAGTACTTTCTGAGCTATTTTTCTTTGTGTGAGCTCTGGTAGATGAAGCATTATGTATGCACAGACACTTTAAGGATGTAAATAGCATGATCTGTAGAAATGGAGTGAATTTACCATGTAAGGAAGAAAGGTCGTATATACATATAAATATTTTGTGAATACATATGGCTTCTCCTTCAAGAAGATAAGTGGTGAAATAGATATCATGAAGGGCTAAACTCAACGTGTTGTTACTACTCCAGTTTAATTGGACTGAGTCAGGATTGTTGTACAGGATTTTCCAAACCACCACACTGAAATCTAAGGAAAGAAACCAGAACGTGTTTTTTGCTTGTTCGTCATGGATCTGGAGTCACCTTAGGTTGCTGACAAGTCTCAGAGCTAACAACCTTTTGGTGTATTTGAATAAAGCCACATTAGAACTTTGTAGTTTCTTTATAAATCCCCCTGTGTGCACACTCACACACACACACACACACACACACTTAAACAGATGGCCTTGGAGATGTCACTTGGCCAGGAATGGCATGAATGATGTCGGAGGGAACCCGCTGATCTGCCACAGGACTGGGAGACGGCCCCTGAAGACGCAGGGACTCAAGGCTCTGGGCTGAAAATGCCCTTCCCTTTACACCCTGCGCAGAGGCAACCAGGTGTCCTTGCGTGTTTCCAGCACAGCTGCACTCCAGAGCCACACCCATTGCACGGCCTCAACCCATCAACCCTTAGCACTTCCTGCCTCCCCATCTCCTAGTGCACGCACTACCTGAGGAGCAAAGATCACCATCTGTTTTTCTCCTGTGTGGATCTTTTTTTAATGTGAAGAGCATGCTTTAATATTGAAAACCTGAGAGCGAGTGACAGAACATCTTCTTTTGGTGATAGCTATAGGTGGGTTTTATTTACCTGGCTACTTCAGCACTCCACTAGTTTGCCCACTTTGAGATGTGCCATGTTTGAGTTGTGGGGCAAGTGGTCTTACAGCTGGGTGTCTCCATTCTCTCAACTGTCCTATGAGTTCACTAACCCTCCCAGTAAGTCATATCCACAATGTTCCCGATCCCTGAGTACTTTGTGTCATCAGTGTTTTGTTCAGTCACTGTACAGTGTTCACATGTACACACAAACTGGCTGCTTTGGAATTTTGTTCTTGAAACCACCATTGTGTTCTCTTGCCTCCCTTCATAGGACATCTTAAATACCATCATAAGGCACTGTCCGCCCCGCTTCTTCTCCCTGGGTCTGCCTGGCTTCTCCATGCTGGTAGGGGACTTCATTGCAGCGGCTGCCAGGGTCCTCAGCACAGACACGCTGGCGGTGAGTATGACAATGCGCAGCGTCCAGACTCCCGGGAGGCTTGGCAGTCACTAACAAGGTTCGGATTTCTCCACTCTTAACAGGTGTCGACTCATTAGTGCAATGTGAAACTGGGCTCTGAGGGCAGGCACCCCGGCAGCTGATGTGTGAAATTGTAGGCTAAGATGACACACTGGTCTGGAAAGGCGTTTCATCAAGAGGTTCAAGTGTGAGAAACCCCATCCTCACAGACCCAGTCGCATTCACACACAGTCAGAGCGAGCCTGACTCTCAGATTCCTACCAACACCGTCCAGCAGATGTCTCAGACCAAGAGAGGTCTAAATGGACTTTAGGAAGAGCTTGTTGTTTGAAATCAAAACCTTGGTTCTGTTTCCAAAATGTCCGAATGCTAAAATTTTGACTAGAAATCTATGTATGTTTTTTATAACTGTGCCAGAGAACTCTGGCTGAATTCTTATGCTAAGAAGTGTATTTATGAGCCTTAAGGACCACAAAAAGTGTTTATTTTCAACCCTATGTTTACCTTCTCTGCTGAGCAATGTTATAATGCCCTTTTTGAGAATGCCTTTATATATTTATTTCCAATAAATATATACATTATACATGTATATATTATACATATGTGTATATATACATAATAAATACATTTTCAAATGTATTGTTCATTTGAAAGACAGGGAGAGTCAGAAAGAGAAAGACTCAGATCTTTCACTTGGTCATTCCGTACATGGTCCCAACAGTCAGGTCTGGATCAGGCCAGAGCTAGGATCCTGGAACTCCATCCCGGTGCACCACCAGGTGTCAGGAACCCAGACACTTGGGGCATCTCCTGCTTCTTTCCCAGACAGATTTTCAGGAAGCTGGATCAGAAGTAAAATAGTCAGGATTGGGAGTGTCACTCTGATTAATAGGATGCCAGGATGCAGGCATCGCAAACAGTAGCTTAACATGGTGTGCCACAATGTCTGCTCCATCCCTTATGCATTTCAATTTCAAAGCTGTTTCCCGTTTATGTTTTATACAACTGTTATCTACTCAGAATTATCCTCTGCCTGAGCATGATTTAAAGATTAGCTATAATTGGTAAGGTTTGTATTAAAGTCAGTATGATTGTTCAGCGTGCTAAATTTTGTTTGATAACATGGGTTGCCTTTTCACTCTATTTATTTCTTCTCTAAGAGTAAGTTCAAACTCTAGGCCCTAAGTTTTAAATTACATGTTTACATTTTGTGTATCTTGTATTTCATGGTGGTATTTTTATGCACTAGCGTTTCTTTTACTTAAAAAACAAACAGCAACAACAACAAACAGACAGAAAAACAGAGGTAGAGTGAGAAAGATCCTGGCACGTGCTGGTTCACTCTGAACATAGCCATAGTGAAGCAAGGGACCAGAGACTCCATGTGGATCTACCATCTGGGCAGAAGGAACTCAGGTATTTAAGACATCATCCACTGCTTCGCAGATGCATTAGCCAGTAGCTGGATCAGAAGCAGCCCACTCAGGACTGGATGTGGCACTGTAACATGGGATGCAGGTGTGCCAAGTCGTGACTGAGAGTGGACCACAATTTCTAAAAAGGATAAATTCGAAAGCAAAGGGAAAAGAGATGGGCAGAAGGGATTAATTAAGAAAAGGTGAAAAAGGAAGCCAATGTTGAATTTATTCAACTTTTTTTTTCAAGAGTATGATAAATTTTCTTTCTTCATTATTTCTGCAAAGGATTTCAGGATAATCAATCAAAGACCCAGTATATTTTATGAATCAAGTCAACATGGAAAACAGTCAGAAGATATAAGCTGGACTAATCATACTTCTTAATGGAAATTTAATAAAACCAGGTGGGGGAGTTTCTATAAAAAAGCTGGCACCTTTGTCAGAGATTATACACCTTGCAGTGGTCATTCTCTAACCTTTGACTAGCTGAGCGATTGAAATAAGCTTCTAGGCATGGCCAACAGGCAAATGAAAAATGCTTGGTGTCACTAGTCCTCAGAGATTAACAAATGAAAAATCACAATAAAGCAGTCATCTCACAACCAATAGGATGGCAGTGATCAGAAAAAAAAGATAACAAGTGATGGTGAGGCTACGAAGGAAAGATACCTCTTGTATGCTGTTAATGCGAATATAAATCCTGACAGCCATTATGGAAACAGGTGCAACGGTCCCTCAAACAATAGAAAAGAGAATTGCCATCTGACCCAGAAATCCCATGTCCAAGTTCATGTCCAAAGGAAAGAAAGAGAGTCGGTGTCTGGAGGGCACCATTGTTCACAGTAGCCAAGATGAGGAAGCAGCTTAAGTGTGAATCACCAGATGAATTGATAAAACAAATGGGATTGTATGGCTTGTACAGAGAGAGAGAAAGGAATATTATTCAGCCTTAAAAAAGAAGGAAATTCTGTCATTTTGGACAACTTGAATACACTTGGAATTTATTCTGCAACTTATCAGTAGGGCCCTGAGGTCACCACTGTTTCTGTTGCTCACGTGCCCTGTCAGTTTTGGGTTTGATGCCAGCTCCTCCTGTGACTCCAGCTTCCTACTAATGCAGACACTGGGAGGTAGTGGCAACAACTCCAGTAAGGTCCCTGCCCACACCCGGGCACGAGACCTAAATTGGCTCCAGACGGGAGCTGAGAAAAACATTTGGGAAGCAGCAGATGGAGGATTTCTCTCAACTAAACAAACAAATGAATGAATAAAATATTAAGGTTACATAAAGTGATAGCAACTCTTTGAACTATTGTTTTGTTTAAACTTGAGGTTTACAATTTTGGTGGAGCCATGCAAGGTGTTTGGATGGGGCACACCTGTTCATTCATATTTTCAGTTAGCCCAAATTAATCACACCTGTCTCTCGGCCCCTGCTGAGAGAAGAGCTCTTCAAAAACTGGTGAAAATTTATGCACATCAGCAGCATTTGTGCTAGCAAAAAGCCAGAGCCAACCCAAGAAGCTATCAACAAGTGTGGCGGTGTGAGCAGAAGATACTGGATGCAAGCACAGCGGATATCTGCTATATAGCAGTACTGAGTGAAAGCAGTCAAACTTAGAAAAACGCATAATTTCACTTACATAAACTTCAAAAGCTTGGGGGTGTCACAGATGATTGTGTTTTTTTGGGCATATGAGGAGGGGTTGACAGGGGATCATACAGAGGACATCCATGGGCTGCAGCTCACATTCTCCCTTGGCCTTGTGCCTGCCCCTGCAGGGCTCTGACCTGTCATCGTACCCCACACTCCCAGAGAGACGGCCATTTGGGAAGGGAGCCCAAGGGCCATTTGGATATGCTCCAACACCATTCACAAACCACACACAAGTTACCAAAGTAAAAATTAGTTGCTATAGATTTGTTGAAGTGTGAATGAGCCCTGCCTGCATTTGCCTTGGTAGGACCAGACTGAATGATTCTGCAGGCATTCTATGGCCCATGGGTGGATGGTCCCCACCCTGCTCTAGGCAGAGGGGCTGGCCCCCTATTGTCAGCTGAGACTTCTCCACAGGCTGAAGATAGGCACTTCAGAAAACTGATCGCTTGGGATGCTCTAAAGGACCACAGACTGAGAAAGCCAAGATCAGAGGTAATTACAAGAAATACAATTGCATTTTTGGAAATCACAGTGTCTGTTGATGCGTTCAAGGCTCCTGAGTCACTACGCCTGCTTGGAAGTCTTTGTTTTTCCTGTTGCACACTTCCCGGGCCCCACTGGAGCACTCCTTTGGAACTGCTGCCTCTGACCCTTTCATCCACCCATCTCAGAAACCTGCCTGTGGTTGTCATGGAGATGCAACACCTCCAGCCCTGCAGACCAGAGCACAGCTTGCCTTAGATTCTATTTCTCCTGCCTGCTCCCTGAGTGTCACCATGGTGCTGTCACCTCAGCCCTGAGCATGGCAGCAGCATGGCATGCTTCCCTTAACCCTTCTGCTTCAGAGCGGACTCCAATCCCTAGGCTCACAGCCAGTCCTTGTCACAATCTCAGGCCTGGGGCAATGGTCCAGAAGGGTCCTAATCTGAGACTTGCCATCACTGCTGCAGTCCTCTTCCCACTCTTCCCAACAGGGAACTTCTGGGATGTGTAGTGAGTACGTGCCCACAGCAGTTAAGACTGGGTATCATCCCTGCATGCTTATAAAAGATCTGCTCTAGTAGCAAAGCCATGGGGTAGGTGCTTTGAGGAGAACCCCATCTGGCCCCTCAGCTTCCTGGTTCCATCTGCCTTTCCCTGCCCATGTCGTTGACCGCAATGAGACACTGCACACATTGCAGCTCCCCGTCTGGAATCTTCTTCCCATCCTCCATCCCCTGACTCAAGTAAGTCAGGCTTGAGTTCATTCCAAGTACATGGCCTTGTACTTGTTATCTATTCTTGGGCAATATCCATAAGCACATGGGCCTCATGTTATATGTCTGTAAAGTCAATGTATTGTGGGAGGGATTGCATGGGTTTATTATATCCTCTTGAGAAAGCTATAGCAACTCTGAAATTCTAATACTGTGCATCTGGTTGGCACACATTCTAGCATTCAGTCTAAAATTCTGCAATACAAACCAAGCATATGCATGGCATGATCCTTGAGAGCTGCCCAAAGAAAAGAACAGACATCAGCACAGACTAAATAAAGATCTTCCAGAGAATGGGAAGCAGTAGTGAATGAGGAGCAAGCAAGGTTCTAGAAGGTTCTCCTGTGGATCTACTATGTGCTGGCTAGCAGGTGTGGAGGAGTCATTTGCAGAACCCAGGAGGCACCAGTATTATAACAGTTTGCTTCACTGGATGAGTAGTAGATGGGAAGGCACATGCCAGAATAGTCTTAGTGGAAGAAGTGATGCTGAAAAGATACCCAGAAGGTGATCCGTGTTCACCCCCAGTAAATGCAGGCAGCAGCAGCCCTGACCTCAGAGCAGTGCTTGCTGACCGTCCCTGGGACTGGAGAAACAACATGACTCTCAGGCTTTTCTCTCATGAGGGCTACATGCATCAAATAAATGCAAGATATGTCAGAAACAACAAATAGAAAGAAAAAGCTCAAGGCAACGATGTTGGAGCATACGGGGCTCAGATGACCAATGCCTTAAATTTGCCTGAAATATGCCAAGTGAAAAATTTCAAGTGATTTAGCACTGAAGAAATGAAAACAGGATAGATGAGGCATGAGTGGTAAAATGTTGAATCTAGATATTTGTGTGAATATACATGTAACACATGTTCTTCATATTAGTGTTTGAAGATATCTGAATGTAAGAGTGAAAGCAGTAGTAAGATAATATAGTGAAGGAGACAGGATATTGTTTCACACAGTTCCAGAAGCACTCTTTGATAACGTAGCCCAACCATGGAAGAGGCCTTCTTGACCCTGAGTGGAAATGTCAAACAAGCAGGTGGAACTGCAGCTGTGGAGTTAAAGAAAGACATTTGGAATCAAGATTACTGGGGCGTGATAGGGCACAGGAGCTGTCTGAAGCCTCAGGTCTAGTTACCCCTTGGGAGTCACCACTTGTATTTCAGTGACCACCTGACAACTGTTCTGCCCCTGAAGCATCATCCACTGGCTCTGCATACCACACCACAGCATCCCCCCTCAGACAGGGGGAGATGTGGACAGTATGACCCACAGGGCGCTTCTTCAACTTCTCCAGCTGAAGTTCCGTGACTCCCCTCATGCACAGCCAGCTGTTCTCTGGGCTGTGTGTTTCTCTCCCACTTCCGTGAGTCACCTCTATCCTCTGCCTTTGCCTTTGTTGTCTGTTACCCGCTCAGCTCATTCTCATTCATTGCCGGCCTGCCTGACTCTTGTCTCTGGGCCCTAGCCAACCTTTCCTTTGGTGTTTCCTGGCTGTGCTGAGAGGCACCAGTCCTGGCTGCTTCTGACAGGCCATCTCGTGGTTTGTCAGAGTTGCGATACTGAGCTCCCATGGTGCCCCCAGTGTGTTATTGTAACCAACTCTCCTCCACCCCATATACCATTACCATACTCCCATCCCTGAAGGAAGAGCCCTCCATTTTATTTCATATGCATGCAGGGCAAGGGTGGACTAGGGGGAGTTGGCCTTTGTGCCAGGCCAGGATCTATCACTTGCGAGCTGTGTGACTTTATACAGCTGTATGGGGGCAGGCTTTGGGCCTGGAGGTTAAGGTGCTGCTTGGGATGCTACATTCTATCAGTGTCCTTCCATGTGAGTCCCAGCTTCACTCCCGTCCAACTTCTGCCATTGTGCACCCTGGGAGGGAGCTGCCATTTGCATGGCAGACACAGTCTGAGGTCCTGGCTCCTGGCTTCTCTCTTTCTCCTTAAGTGAATTCATTTAGGTAAAACAACAACTTCCCTGTATTCTCACAAGAGAATGGAAATGGTGATAGTATCTACACCAGTGGGTCCCTGAGGGAATGATAAGAGGAAATGCTTATACAACACTTAGAACAATACTAAGCACAGAGAGGTCTCAAGTATTAGCTGCAGTTGTTGCAACTGTCAGACGCTGGGACAGATGAGTTAGTAGGTGGATGGTATGCCGTTGTCTTGGTGTCTGCTTCCATTCTTGGCTCATCAGGGCTTCTGGGAATCTTTGGCCGAATCGAAACTTAATGAAGGAACTCTTTAATATGTATCTAATTCCAGTAATGGACAAATAAGTGATTCGCATGTTACTAGATATGGTGATGTAACAGCTCACCATGTTATTTTACGACATAGTCCTTGGTGAAACATAGAACGTTGGTAGACAATGTCTTTTCTCTCTTTACCCTGTAATAGTTCCTCCAACCTCACTTTCTTATGAATTTCCCTCAATTGTTCTTTACTGCAAAAATGACACGCAGGTAGAAAAAAATGATGCTACCTGCTTTGTTAAAAGCAATCATATTAAGGTGTTGTAAAACAGTAATGACTGAGTCGTTTGCCTTTGTAACTCTAAATGAATCTGCAGCCAGTTTTCACATTTGTGTACATGGTAGCATAGTAAAAATTTTTCATTCCTTCGAAATTTTCATATAAAATCTCTTACTTGCTTAAATATGTACCTTGGAAAAATTACCTGGCATAACATGATTTTCCTTATCTAGAAAAAAAAATAATTAGAAAGATCTCCCTCTCAAAGCCCTGAAGAAGTGAAGCTATGTGCTGTTTATCTGAAGTTTCTATGGTGCAACCAGGAAAATGGGTATGTTTCCTTTGTCGTGAACAGGCGCCTCGCTCCGAAGCCCTCACCATCCTTGGCTCCCTCGTCTGCTTCCCAAACACCTACCAGGGGCTTCCTCTACTACAGTCAGTGCCAGAAGTGAATGAGGTCATTACAGGAGCCGAAGATGTCAAGGTATGGCATGCATGTCACTGAGTCCCAGAGTTAGCATGCTCGAATTCTAACTGTATGATTATGTCTCCATTATCATATGTGGATCTACTATTTATCCCTGAACTTTTGCTATACCTTTTAAATGTTTTAATGATGGTTTTTCTTAAGAAGGTTGTTCCAGGGGGCTGTAAACATATTAGATTCAGAGCATATTACATTTAGAACAGATAGCTGTATTCCTTGGGTGTTTTTTATTGGATCTGTTTATCGTGCCTAGGGAGCATAATTATGTAATGAATCATCCTTTGTAATAATTTTATTAGCTTAGTTGTGCAGCATTCATGCATCAAATAAATGTATAAGAAATAATCAAAATAAGCTAAATATTCAGTCCTATTGTTGGCCTGATTAAATACTATTAATAATTTGAAATTCCAGATTAATAATTTGAAATTTTCTTCTAGAAGAAAAGTAAGCTTTTTTTCTCTCTCTTCTCATCTGACTTTGGGGCATACATAAATACTTTTCAAATCCTGGAATCAATCAATCTATAAATACCTGATTACAATATATAATTCAATGTACAAAACGTAATCCAATTAAAGTAAAAGAAATCAAGAGATTTTCCTATCTGGAAGTCTCATTTGCTTTGCCAAGTTCTCCTTGCACACCCAGCCACACCATCCTGCAGGCTGCCTCCCTGCAGGGACCCCCACGGATGGACGGTACCCGCTGCTCCACCACACCCTGCGACTTCCTTTCCCCAGGTTCTCCCTGATGGAGGACATGCCTGGGCTCCCAGGGCCTTCAGAAGCTCCTGGCTGCCTGGAACACGGCCAGAGCATGCAGAAAAACCAACACTGACACTAAGTTTTTATTTTACTCAATTTTGTGTTTTTAGCATTACCTCATAAATATTTTACTGAAGAATGCCACAGAGGAACCAAATGAATGTGCAAGGTAAATGTTGACTAAGAGGTAAATTATTTTAGAGTTTTAAGGTACACATTTACATGTAAAATAGTTTTTAAAAGTGTTCTTTCACATTGCTGCTTTATGTTAAAAGCTGTAGTAAGAATTATGTCAGGAATTCCATAGTTGATTATCTAAAATGACAACGTTAGGTAAAAATAGCAAGGTGCCTAAGATTATGCATAGGATGCTATATTTATTTCAGAAAAAGCAATTTTTTAAACATATCTTTTGATGTTTTTAACAAGAAAATAGAAAAATAAACCAGAAATCCATCAAAATTGTAGAGGGGTAGTGATTTCTATTTATTTATTTATTTATTTATTTATTTATTTATTTAAAAGGCTGAGTTACAGAGAGAGAGAGAAATTGTTCTTCCATCTCTTGGTTTACTCCTGAGAGAGCTGAGATAACCAAGGGTGGGCCAGTTTGAAGCAAGCAGCCTGGAATTCCACCCAGATCTCTGTCCCAGTGGGTGCAGGGCCCACGCACTCATGCCATCTCCTGATGCCTTCCCAGGCATGTTAGCAGGAAGCTGGATCAGAAGTGGAGCAGCCAGACTTGAACCAGTACCCTTATGGGTTGCTCATGTCAACAGGCGTCAGCCAGTCTGCTGTGTCACAATGCCGATCTCTAAGGGCAATGATTTTAACTGGAGATGATTTTCAGCCCCCAGAGATATTTAGCAGTGTCTGGAAGCCTGTGCCAAGTGTCTGAGGTTGCTAGCAGTCTATGGCTAATAGAACATTTTCTGGGCTGCCTACTTTTTCTCCTGAGGTGAAGCAGAGTATAGCCGCTGGGAATGCTGATAGAGGGGCACAGCTGTGTCAGCTCTCCACTTCCTACCACGTGCAGTCATCAGAAGCCCACCCAGCCTCCTTCCTCCTGGGGGCTGGCTGAGGCCTGATCCATGACCCAGGACTGTTCTCATTAGCCCTTTGATGATCTACAAGTTCTTTTTGCTATTGTATTTTGTCTGACATCTTCAGTGAGGATGGTTGAATCTAAATTTCCTAGTCTGTGTTACACATTGTGAATTGGGTAATGTTGAACTAACCTATCCATTTGGGCAAAATCCAGCTTAGCTTATATGTGACTGGATCTGACTTGATGAATATTTTGTTCAGGAAAGTTACATAGTCTCACAAAATTAGTTAAGTGTTATTCATTCTCTTTCATTAGGAAGATTCTTAGAAAGTCAGATTAATATTCCTTGTGTATTTAGTAGACATTGATAGTAAAATTATCCAGATTAAGTATGTTTCTTTGTGAGAAAAAGAAAGTTAACAACCATCTGATTTTCTTCAATGAGTTTAGGAATATCAAGGCTTTCACACTTTTTTTTTTGAAATTTTGATGCACAAAAGTTTTAGGAATTTGTTTATTTCATTTAAATTTTGAGATCTATTGGCATACAAGTTATCTCTTGTTTTCTGTTTTACCTTTTCGGCCCAATTATGTCCATTTTTTAATTGCTGGAACTTTGTGTGTGTTCTCTCTCTTTTTAAACTGTTTTTACCAAAAGTTGTCAAGTTTATTAGCCTTTCAAATGACAGTTTTTTGTCTTTATTTAACCTCTCTATTCAATAAAAAGTCTTCAAAAAGTTAATGGAAAATGTGTGTTAGTACTATGTGTGGATTTTTCTGTCAAAATAAAATTTAAAATTCTTTTTTTCCCACAAACTTTTTGAAAATGTTTCTCTCATCTATTTTATTACCTACTCTGTGCTCCTTTTTGTTCTTCCTCTACTTTTTTTTTTTTAATGTGTTGTTTATTTGGAAGGCAAAGTTATCCAAACAGAAGGAGAGAAATCCATCCACTGGTTCACTCCCCAAATAGCCACAATGGCTGGGGCAAGTCCATGCTGAAGCCAAGAGCCTTCTCCAGGTCTCCAATGTGGAAGGAGACCAAGCACTCATGCAAGTTTAACTTGCTTCACCACAACACTGGTCCTTACTCCATACTTTTCATGTTATATATTTGGAATGTTCATTATATAAAGTTAAGATTGCATGTTTATTTCTAGTGGTACTTTATCTTAATTCTGTGTTTTAATGTCTGATATTTTTCTATTCCATGTTTTTCTGATTTCTTTTTGCATCATCGGTTTTTAAGAAATATTTTTTAATTTCCAAACATGATTATATTTTTTCTGCTTTTGACAGCTTAGATCATTGGATTGTGGGCCAATATTTCAATTTTTACAAATATTCCATATACACTTGAAAATAACATAGACAGTATTCTTTAATTGCTGAATATAGCATTACAGGCATCTGTCAGATTAATTTCTAAGTTTACAGTGTTTGCTTTGAGTTATCCTTAGCCTTTAGAGTTGTTTTCATCAAGTTAATCATTTGATGAGATGTTTTTTCAAAATCCCTCCTGTTATAGTATATTTATCTATTTCTCATCATAAATAAGTTACATTTTGCTTTATATATTTTAAGCTCTACTGATAGTACAGAAGATTGAAATTTTCCTATTGCTATAATAAATCAGATCTAATGTAGTAACCTTTATTTCTAAGAATGATTTTTTAGTCTTAAAGACTTCTATATCTGATACTGACAACTTTTATCATGCTTTCCATTCTTTTAAATTGGCCTTTGTATATTCCCCTTTCTAGATCTCATCTTAAAAGCTGTACACAAACAAGTTCTACAGGTGTAATCTTTAAACCTTGCACACTTGAGTTATACAGGTGTGGTCTTTAAGCCTTTCACACTTGAATTCTACAGACGTGGTCTTTTAATGAAACCTTCACTCACATTTGTTACTACTAATGGTCCCTTTGGATCAGTTCTCTTTTTTTTTTTTCAAGATTTATTTGGTTTTGTGTTTTTGTTTTGTTTTAGATTTGTTTTTATTGGAAAGATTTACAGAGAGAAAAATCTTCCACATCTACATGGCCAGAGCTGGGCCAATACAAAGCCAGGAGCCAAGAGATTCCGGGTCTCCCACTTAGTGCAGGGTCCCAAGGCTTTGGGCCATCCTCTACGGCGTTCCCAGGCCACAAGCAGGGAGCTGGATGGAAAGTAGAAGAGGTGCCTTGACATCAAGACAGGGATGTCTTAAGTGGCTGCTGTGCCACATTGTTCCCCTTCTTCTGTCTTCACTGATTTTTTTGTTTGTTTTGTTTTTAGTAGATTCTTCTCCGTATTTCTTTCATGTCTCCTTAGTCTTACCTTCATTTTTTTCCCTCTGTTTATTTTATTTAGGTGAGCAGGAATGAGGGTTGCTTTTTCCACTGTTCTTTGTTACTTTTATTTTTTCTTAAGGAACCAAAGATTCTCTTTTGGTTTCTTGCAGAGATTATCCCATCCATTTCCAGACACTCACCTAATATGCTGGTTTTGTCATCTGTCTTTCCCCTGTTCCTTAGCCCAGTCCCTGAGCTTGCCGGGGCTGCCCTGCATGCTGCTTTCCCATCTCTTGGGCAGGCTGACCTCTCTTCTAGCTTACCTCTTCTCTCCCCATCACTTCCTGAATGCCCTCACCCGTTCTTACCCATCTTTCAGAACCATCTATTTGCTGATGATCTCCAACTTATCCACCTTATTTATTCCAGCTTGTATATGAAACTGCCAACTTGACATCTCAACTTGGATTTGTTAACAAACCGAACATATCCATAACTGAAGCCTGGAGTCCTCTGACTCCTCTAAATTCTCTCCCTTATCCCCCACCCTCCTGCCACACCTGACTGTCCAGAAGATACCATACCAGCAAGTGACACCTCCATCCACCCATGTTTGCAGCCAGAAACTTAGGGGAAATCCTTTACTTCTCTTTTTTTCCTACACCTATCACATTGTAAAATATCCACAACTCTCGGCAATTCCCTCCACCTGCTTTTTTCTTTAGTGTAGAAAATGACACTTTTGTGAAGTTAACAATAGAATGGAAATGTTTGTATAGTCTGGTTAGTTTTCTCTGAAAAATATCTTGTTCTAGCACGTTACTTAAAAAAAATTATTTCTAAAAGTTTTGTTCAAATATGCTTTAAAATAGAATAGAATGTCCCTCCTATTTGTAGTACACATTGTGTGTGTTATTAGAAGGTAACCAGAAATTGCAATTTCCATGTTTTTGATTCCTAATCAAAAGTATCTTTAAACAGTAACATATAACTAGCAAATTAATTTCAATAAAAATAAGTGCTGTATGGTCTATGGGCCATTCATAGGAAATATGTCATCTTTATCAATGTTTGCATTGTCCTAAAAACTGGCCTGTTGAGTGTTTTTGTTCTTTTTGAAGAAGAAGAAGATATTCTGCTATTTCTGTATAAGTTTTGCTACTTTTATAAACATATTAAGAATATTTTGTTGCTTCAAAATGCTAAAACAATACACTGAGTTTCATGAGACCTTTTATCTTTTTATCCTTTTTAAAAAGATGCATTGCTATTTGCTCCCTCGGAGTGTGGATCTGTGAAGAGCTTGCGCAGTGCACAAGCCATCCCCAGGTGAAAGACGCCATCAATGTGATAGGTGTGACTTTGAAGGTACTCGCAACTCGTGATGCTTCTCTAGCAGTAGGTTGCATCCCAGGTGTTTAAGCCCATCCTTGTTGTTGCCTGCAGAATTCAGAACCCCCATTCTGAGAGCCTTATAAACAAATGTGCTGAAGTTCCTGCCAAGGGTTGCCTCCTCCCTGGTAGCTGCAACCAGGCCAGTAGTAGCCTGCCCTGGGTGTGCCTGGATCATGCCCAGTGGCCAAATACTGTTCTTCTGATGGCTGGGCAGCTTCTGTGGCATGGAGGGCACTTGTCATAAGTCAATGTGGAGTAACAAGAAAATGAGATGTTGTGCCCTGGCCTGGAAGGGATCTCCCCGGTTTCAATGCGGAGCTCTTGGGGTACACCAGTCAGCTGGGCCTTGGATATTTTTTGATGCCTTCCTCTCTGCTTTGGTAATTAAAATTGAATGTAAGTCTTGTCAGTGTGGATCCCAGCATGTTCTTTTTTAAGATGCTTATTCATTTGAAAAAATGAATAAGAATGGCTGTAATGGCCAGAGGTGAGCCAAGCCAATAAGAGGAGCCAGGAGCTTCTTTTGAATCTTCTGCATGGGTGGCAGGGGCCCAAGCACCTGAGTCACTTTCTGCTGCTTTCCCAGGTGCATTAGCAGGGAGTTGGGTCCAAAGGAGAGCAGCCTGAGCTTAGACTGACACCCATATGGGATGCCAACATCTCAGGCAGTGGCTTAACTCACTGCACCAAAGTGCCGCCACCCCCCACATTTATTTTTTAATTTACTTTTTCAATTCTAAGATCTGTTTTGTTCTGCTTTGTTTTGTTTTGTTTTTTTGGTTTCTCATTTTTCTGTCTTCAGTCATATGTATTTACTATAATGTGGCCCTCTTATCTCTGCCCCTTACCTAGAGAAACCGTTAACCCAGTAATGTCTTAAAAATGAATGTGGTACAGAAAAAAGAGATGGAAATTACTGAGTAGAATGATTGTGGAATGGGCTTTATTCTTTGTATTTCTACAAATTCTCAACAAATGTCTGTCATTGCCATAGTTGAGCCCTTACTGTGTCAGGCCTGTCCAGCTCATGGTGTGGACTGTCCCTACAAGTCCTTGTCACTGGACACAGAAACTGTTGCTCGTCCCCACTGTAGAAACAGAAGAGAAGGAGGTAGAAGGAGGCCCAAGGAACTGGCCACAGCTGAACTGCTGAGAAACCGAGGCTGGCAACCCAGTCAGTCTTCTTTTAGCTGCTATTAAAAACACAGGAAAATCACCGACTTGAGCCATACCAAATGTGTCATTGTATTTTAAAGACAGCATAGGAGGCTAAGAAAAATGAGGTCTGGAAGGCAATGAGGTGCTCCAAGGAATAGGGTGAGAAGAGGGGCTCCAGGGAGGCTTTGGGGCAAGAAGGGGAGAGATACAAGCACAGGTCAGTGGGAGTGATGCTACTGGGCAGCCTGGCTGCCCACGTTTTGCTGGAGTAGCAGACAGGGAGCATGAGCCTGATGGCATTCCAAACCACAACCTTCCTGAAAAGCTGTCAGCTTCCTACCAACAAAGGACGTAGGACATGCTCAGTATGCTCGTGAAAGCTAAGACTCCTGTGTCCTGCCTGTGCCCTCCCTGTGCCCTGCTGCCGCTGCCTGCAAGGAAGCCCTGGCTCTCCACCTGCATTCTCACAGGTGCAGCTTGGTTTCTACCACCTCTGTGCTCTTCTGTCTGTCCCCGCTCATGGCTCACCACTCTCGTCCAAAGCCTTTCGTCCAAAGCCTTTCGTCCAAAGACCTCCCTGTAGCGAGGTCTGAGTGACATTGTAGTGCCAGGTTCCGGACGGCAAGAGAGGCGCAGTGCCTTCCTCGTCCCTTCCGGGAACAAGTGGGACCTTGCAGGTGCTGCCTCCCCTTTGTGTGCTGTCTCATGAGAAGTGGAAGCCTCCAGTAGACCTCGCTGGTAAGCTGAGACACTCAGCAGCCTCAGGAAGCATACTCAGAGTAATTGAATCAACACAGCCCATGAGTTATGCACTTACAGACTTTAATTTTATTCGTTTTTTCTTTTTTCATATTTTGTCCATGTGGGTCAAGTTTCATTTCACTGGCTAGAAAGTCACTTGACCAATCCTTGTTTCTCTGCGTGTGAAATGAACGCAGCATCTCCCTTGCCGAGCTGTCCATGAAATGTTCCCAAAGCACAAGAATTCTTTTAGAAGGTTCAGTATATGGCATGCTCATCACTGTACTGCATTTTAATTTCCTCTTATCCAAAATTATGATATGTGTGAGCTGAATAGGAGTTTGGAATTTCAGTTTTACTGTCTAGATGATTTTTTGGGCAGCTACTTGGTTCTGTAGAATGTTGCGTAAAATAGCACAGCAAGACCAGCTGGGAGGAGTTACAGAATGGCACCAAGATATCGTGTGAACTTTCTGCTCATAGGACATAGTTTTCATCAACTTGATGCAAAAGGCCTGTGTTACAATCTGCATAGAACTGGGAAGGCATTACGATTCTGTTTTTCCTTAGTAATTCATCTGGGATTTTGTTTTCCAGTTTCCTAACAAAACTGTGGCTCAGGTAGCTTGCGACGTGCTTCAGCTGCTGGTTTCCTACTGGGAGAAGCTCCAGGCATTTGAAACCTCGCTGCCTCGGAAGGTGGCAGAAGTAAGTCAGCCTTCTCCCCACCCTCGCGCCCTGCCCTCTAGCCCTGAGTCATAAGCATTTCCCTCCTGTCACAGCTGATACTTAATTGACTCTATTTGCTCAGTAGTTGTCAGACATCTGCCTTACAGATCATGGTGGAGTACGGGTTTCAAGGGAAGGTTGGCCTGGCTTCTCAGTGCTGACTCTGGGCACCCCTGAAGCAGCCAGCAGCACAGAGCTTGGGAGTGGATGGTGCCAACAAGGAGTAGCAGCTGGTTAGGCCCTCCACACAGGGGAGGGGAGACAGGGAAGCTGTTGTCTAAAGCAGAAATCTTGCCCAGCCTGAAACCCTGGACACACTTTCTGCCAAGTGCAGTGATCTGTCTGTAATGAAATCACCACTGCAGTAACATCTGTGGGCTAGTTGGTGAGTGATGGGCAGGACCGACAGGAAGAACCACCTGAAAATATCGTCCTAGACATCTGTTACACTTAGAGATGCTGTGCCATATCCACAAACAGGTACCCTCATTCCCATAGGTGTTTGGTGGGAGACACATCTGTGCCTTAGGATTCCTTTTTTTTAAAGATTTATTTATTTTTATTGGAAAGGCAGATATACAGAGAGGAGGAGAGACAAAGAGGAAGATCTCCCATCCGATGGTTCACTCCCTAAGTGATCACATCAGCTGGAGCTGAGCCAATCCAAAGCCAGGAACCAGGAGCTCTTCTGGGTCTCCCATGTGGGTGCAGGGTCCCAAGGCTTTGGGCCATCCTTGACTGCTTTCCCAGGCCACTAGCAGGGAGCTAGATGGAAAGCAGGGCTGCTGGGATTAGAACTGGCACCCATATGGGATCCCGGAACGTGCAGAGCAAGGACCTTAACCACTACGCTATCATGCCAGGCCCGCCTTAGGATTCTTATAGCTGCACTTTCTGAAACCTGCTCTAGTCTTGACACATGCAGTCTAAGTCCTCAAGGGAATTTGATTTGTCCTCATGAAGCATTATTTGGAAGAGAGATGCAATATTGATTTATTTTCTCTCAGCCCTAGACAAATTTCAAGGGTGAGATTTTGTTCTCTAACTGTTGCCCCAAAAGTCACAAGTGATTTTTGACCTTAGATGACCTAGCTTTCACTTTAGGTGAAATAGCTTTGGACATAGGAATATAAAATTCTGAAAAATGTACTTTTATGGTTTCTGGTGTTGATCATGCAATTTATAGTCAGGGCAGGAATACTTTTGAGGAAAAAAAAAAGCTGCTAAGATACAGACAACAGATGAAGACCTGGGGAAATTTATAAGAAAATCAAATGGGAAATGTGGCAACAGGTGGCAGGAATTGTGTGACTACAGAGAAGTTCCTCTGGTGCCCCTCTAGTAGAGTGGAGCAGAAACCAAGCAGGGGCCCAGGACTGTCTCCTGATTTTGAAACTATCCACACATGAGTGGCTTACAACTTTCCGTCCTCCTGGCTTTCTTGAGCTGCCAGCAGCCAAAGCTAGTGGCTTCCAGAACTATCACTGCAGACTTTCTGACTGGGGACTTGTCTTTGATGCAGATCCTCGTGGCCACAATTGCGTTTCTCTTACCAAGTGCAGAGTACTCCATGGTGGAAGCAGACAAGAAGGTAAGCAGCACATCAGCCAAGCTGGCTTCCAGTTTTAAATTGTCTGACAAATAATACTACGTGGTGACACCTCTGGGACAGGATCCTGTGCAGACACCGTTCCCTTACTCGTCATGTGTCTGTCTGTGGAAGTCACAACCAGCAGAGGGGATGTGATGTGAGCGCTTTATTACGACCGTGTCTCTTCTTACAGTTCATTGTGTCCTTGCTCCTCTGCCTCTTGGACTGGTGCATGACGCTGCCCATGAATGCCCTCCTCCACCCCGTGTCCACCGTGCTCCTGGAGGAACAGCAGATGGCTCGAGCCCCCTTGCTGGATTACATCTACAGGGTGAGTCTCTGCCCAAGGCCACGGGACCTGCAGTGCAGACTGACACATCAGGGAACTTCCATAATGTGGCTATACATGCTTACTCCTCGACCGGAGCCCCTTTGAAGAGGATTTTCTACAGATTAAACCTTTAAAAAGAAATGACTTAAGAAGTGAAAGCAGAAGGTATAAGCGTAGAGAAGCAATGGTTGCTGTCATCTTTAAACTTTAAATAGCAGTTTGGTCAGAATCCCTGATTGTCAGGGAACATGTTCAGTGCTACTTAATTTAAGGAAAATCAGTGTAAATAAAGGACCAACCATAGCATTAGATTGACAAAATCAGTTCAGCAAACGAAGTTTAATCCCTTTGCCTTGAAAAACCTTAAGAAGTTAATCAAGGAAATTTGTAATATGAAGTAGTTAGGTTCATTGCTTTTATCAAAATCAGGAAGTTCCAATTTCTTCTCCCATCCCTAGACCACAACTTTGTTTCTAATCCCAAACAGCCAGGTAGATCATTTGCAATCACCAGTTTTAATACCTGTTGTAGTTCACAGTCTCAAGTCTTACTTGTTTAGCATCTTCAGGTCCACTGAATAATTACTATTGTGCAGTATAATTTTTTTTAAAAAATCCATTTATTTTGTTGCAAAATCAGATATATATAGAGAGGAGGAAAGACAGAGAAGATCCTCCATCCGCTATTTCACTCCCCCAGTGACCACAATGGCCAGAACTGTGACAGTCCGAAGCCAGGAGCTCTTCCGAGTGCAGAGTCCCAAGGCTTTGGGCCATCCTCGACTGCTTTCCCAGGCCACAAGCAGGGAACTGGATGGGAAGTGGGACTGCCGGGTTAGAACCAGCTCCCACATCGGATCCTGGCTTGCCCAGTGGCCACAGGGCCACTACGCCAGGCCCCATACAGAATAAATTCTATTGTTTATTTTAACAATAAACATTTAATAATAAAAAAGACTGTGAGTTACTAACCAATTACTTTACTACCTTACATTAAAATATATTCATTTAAAAAAAAGAAGAGCCTCTAGTGAGTTGAATTCCTACTAAAATGTTGAATGTGTTAAGTTTATTCAGTAGTCAAGATTTTAATAACCAGCTTAGGATTATTAATCAAAGACTTCTGTTTACCTCGTGCCTTAAATTCTTTTGTTGCTTCTGCCTTGCACCAGCTATAATAGCCACAAACATTTATATGCATCTCTTTTTCTCCCATATTTATTTTCTCACAAAATTTCTCTTAAAATTGCTCAACCAATGTAATAATCATAGTAAATGTAATATAGTAAATAAATATTTCTTTAACAACTCCATATGTTTAACATAAACTTTGTATTGAAATATGTGCTTTCAGAAAGCTGTATCAGTGCTAAGTGTGACTTAGATGAATTTGCACACAGTGAGCACAGCTCCAATGTCAGGGCCCAGACCTGGGAACAGACCTCCAGGCATGCTGAACACCCCGGCTGCTCTTTCCTCGCCTCGTCCCTCTCCTTGCCCCACTGTGCTCCTCGAGTCATTAACCCCATGTACATGCTGAGGGGTCCCCCCTCTCCTGATAGCATCACTTTGTCGACAACGTAGACTAGTCTGTCTTTGAACTTCAAAAACAAATGAGTCGTAGCATTTTCCTTGAGTCTAATGTACTTTAACTCAGCATTAGGTTTGAACAGTTCATTCGAACTATTGTGATTTGTTGTTTGCTGTCTGGCATTACACAGTGAAGATAAGCCATAATTTATTCATCCATCCTGCAGTTGATAGACTGGATGATGTAGAGTTTTGGACCATAACAAAGTTCTGTGACATGCAAGTTCGTTTTTTGGGTGCACACATGTATACATTTCTGTTAGTGCATCCCTGAGAGCTGGTTGCTGGAACGCACATGTTCTGCGTTAGCAGTGAACACCAAGTCATTGTCCAGGGTAGTCATGCCGAGTTACACTGTATCTGAAAGTTGCAGCTGCTCCACTTTCTTGCTAAAACTGGTGCTGTCTCACAGGAATGTAGTTAGTATCGCATGATTCTGTTTGCATTTCATGTGTTTATTGCATTTTGGCTAATACCAATTCTCTCACCAGCAAATATCAGTTTTTCCATGAATAAGCATGACATCATCAAGATTTTCCTATGCAATTGTGGACTTTGTTTTTGGTTTTTTTGTTTGTTTGCTTACTTTTGCTTTTGTTTTTTATTTTGTTTGGAAAAGAACATACGCGGATGCCTGGTCCCTGCCAACTACAGGCCCAGCTACTTTTCTTTGTGTATATAAAGGGTAATGGATCACAAAACTTCTTGCCATATGAGCAAATGAAAACTGCTCATCTAAAAGTGAACCTACTTATATTTAACCCAAAAACGTCACCTTAAATTCAAAAGTATTACCTTACTTTTTCATGGAAATTCATTTTTTTAAAGATTTATTTTTTTATTATTTTTTCATTGGAAAGGTGGAGAGACAGAGAGGAAGATCTTCCGTCTGATGATTCACTCCCCAAGTGAGCGCAACGGCCAATGCTATGCCGATCCGAAGCCAGGAGCCTCTTCTGGATCACCCACGCGGGTGCAGGGTCCCAAAGCCTTGGGCTGTCCTAGACTGCTTTCCCAGGCCACAGGCAGGGAGCTGGAAGGGAAGCGGGGCTGGCCGGGATAGAACCGGCGCTCATATGGGATCCCGGGCATGCAAGGCGAGGACCTTAACCACTGCGCCACCGCACCGGGCCCATGGAAATTCATTTTTAAAATTCATGATCTCATGGTAGACGTGTGGAGTAGTGGTTAAGACACCGTCCCGGGGGGGTTGTGGTACAGTGAACTAGGTCACAGCTTGAGGCACCAGCATTCAATACTGCAGTGCCTGGGATCAATCCCCATGTCCTTCCTCAGCTTCCAGTTCTGCTTCCACTCGTGAGCTTGGAAGGCAGCAGTGGTAACCTGCCATCCTCTTGGGAGATCTGCGTAGAGATCCTGGCTCCTGGCTTCTGCCTGGCCCAGCCCCCAGGTTGTGGGCCAATCTCTGTCATTCTGGCTTTCAGATAAATAAGTAAGTAAGCCTTTAAAAGACACCAGTTTCAATGCCTACATCTGCTATCGGAGTATTTGGATGTGAGTCCCAACTCTACTCCAAGTCCAGCTTCCTGGGGATGCATGCCCTGGGAGGCAGCAGGTGTTAAGTGGTTGGATCCCTGCCATCCCCTTCAGAGACCTGGATGGAGTTCCTGGTTCCTGCCTGTGGCCTGGCCGAGCTGCAGCTGCGTAAACAAAGCTTTAAAAAAAATGAAATTCGTGATCTTAAATTCATGATTAAAAATTAAGTTCTCCAGGGCCTGGCACAGTAGCCTAGTGGCTAAAGTCGTCGCCTTGCACATGCCAGGATCCTGTATGTGTGTGCCAGTTCATGTCTTGGCAGCCCCGCTTCCCATCCAGTTCCCTGCTTGTGGCCTGGGAAAGCAGTCAAGGACGGCCCAAACCCTAGGACCCTGTACCCACGTGGGAGACCCGGAAGAGTTTCTGGCTCCTGATCATCTCAGTTCTGGCCGTTGCTGCCACTTGGAGAGTAAAACAGTGGATGGAATTCTTCCTCTTTCTCTTTTCCTGTCTGTATATCTGGCTTTCTAATAAAAATAAGTAGATCTTTTCAAAAAGAAAGTTTCCCACAATTACCTTATTTGTACATTTTGGCATTTCAGGATGGTCAGCTTGCAAGGTCTATTTGTGTCATCTGTAATTTGCAACAAGTTAGCTTTTGGAAAGCCAGTCTTGTAAAAATAAGAGCATTGGGTCCAGCATAATGGCTCAGTGGCTGTTCCTCACCTTGCATGTGCCAGGATCCCATATGGATGCTAGTTCGTGTTCTGGCTGATCCACTTCCCATCCAGCTCCCTGCCTGTGGCCTGGGAAAGCAGTAGAGGACGGCCCAAAACCTTGGAACCCTGCACTCACGTGGGTGACCCCGAAGAAGCTTCTGGCTCCTGGTTTTCTTTCTGCTCAGCTCTAGCCGCTAGGGCCATTGGAGAGTGAACCAGTGGGTGGAAGATCTTTTTCCCTGTCTCTCCTTCTTTTCAAAAATCTGCCTTTCCAGTAAATGTAAATAAATCTTTAAAAAAAAATACTCTGTGAGTCTGTTTTAAATATACTTTTAGTAAATTTGATACTAGATATTGTTACAAATTAGTCGTTAAAATTAAGGGAGTAGTCCTGAGTTATCTAAACTCATGATCAGTCCTGACCTATACCCAAAGTCTCTGCTGGGCTCATCTGCCCTCCCACCTCAGCTGCCCAGCTCCCAGTCACCCCTCACCCCATGACTTAGCGCCACCTTGTTTGTGTAGCCCGTGGTGGATGGAGGAGGACTCAGGCACGTGCACTCCCACAGAACATGCAACGAGACCTTGTACTTTTGCCTTGAGAAGCTATATAATGGGAAGGATCGGACGTTTCGAGCATTCCCAGGCAGGATCCTGACTCGCAGGTGCGGTGGCAGTTTGGTAGACTGGGCCACAACAGGGGTGATGGCAGCCTGTGCCCCTCATTTCTGCTTCCCACAGGTTCTGCACTGTTGTGCCTGTGGCTCAAGCACGTACACCCAGCAAAGTCACTACACACTGACCCTGGCCGACCTGTCCTCCGCCGATTATGACCCCTTCCTGCCCCTGGCAAGTGTGAAGAGTTCGGAGCCAGTCCAGTACCATTCAGCAGCAGAACTGGGGAACCTGCTGACTGTGGAAGAGGGTGAGTATTCTACACGGTGGAGCTCTGTTGGCGGGCGGAGGAAAGCCTGCGCTCCTTTGCCTGTTCTTGCTGTGCTGAGTTTTGAAGATCTGGCCATTCCAGTTGAAATCCTTGCTTCTAGAGTTTTCTGTGGTGGCAAAACTCTACCTTCATTGTTCTTTCCTTTCCCCACCCTCCTCTCTTCTTTTTTTTCCCCATCTTAACTATTACCAAATTTTGTGTTTTTGAGGACCTATGTATCTCAGACCCATAGGACTCAAAGAAAAGACCCATTATCTGTCTACTGCAAGGGGCAGAGTGCATCCAGAAGGACTCATTTGTGGCTAGTAGCAGCTTGCGGACCCCGCCTCTGAGAAGGGCTTAGGCCAGACCTGGTTGACTGGCCAGGCTTCTAAATGAGCTGCAGAATATGCAGGTCTGGGAGGAGACCCTGAGAAGAGACGGCAATGGACTTGGCAGTTAGAGACAACTCACTCCCTCATAGGCAGCTTGTCGGGTCTGTGGGGTGGCTATATTTCTTCCTGAACTGTCCTCCTTTCCAAAATGGTAGAGACCAGTTCTGGCCCTTGGGAATGTGGGTCAGAATGTGGCTTGGCTGGCCTTGTGATGAAATTGTACAGAACCAAGCACCCACCCACGCACACATTAAAATGTATGCATGTCACATGGGAGACCCAGAAGCTGTTCCTGGCTTCAGATCAGCCCAGCTCTGGCCATGGAGGCCATTTGAAGAGTGAACCAGCAGATGGAAGCCTCAGTCTCTGTCTCTCCCTCTCTCTCAGTGTCTCCAACCTTCACATGGAAAACTAGAGAACACTGAACAGCAGTAATGGAGTGTATCAATGTCAGTTTCCTAAACCCATTAACAAGTTAAAAATCAAGAAGTTTATAAACATGTTGGCATTTAAATGGGACATTCCATTCAGAGTGAAGAGGAAAAAGTAAAGGCCTTTCAGGTAGAATAAGCAAAATGTGGGTGTATTTGAGGACTTTTTCCCAATTGGTGTTATAGTTCATCATTAATAACAAAATTTTTAGCCAGATTGTTATAAGCAATATTATATATGTGTGTTTTTTTAATCTATTTTTATTGGAAAGGCAGATATACAGAGAGAAAGAGAAACAGAAAGATTCCATCCAATGGTTCACTCCCCAAATGGCCACAATGGCCAGAGCTGAGCCTATCCAAAGCAAGGAGCCAGGAGCTCCTTCCGGGTCTCCCATACTAGTACAGGCTCCCAAGGTTTTGCGACACCCTCTGCCACTTTCCCAGGCCACATGCAGGGAGCTGGATGGAATATGGAGCAGCCAGGACCCAAACCAGCACCCTTATGCAGTGCTTACAAGGCAGAGGATTAGCCAGTTGAACCATTGTGCCAGTCCCACAATATTATATTTTTATCAAATTAATTTCAGTGTTCCTGATTTAGACCATTAGCTACTATCTGATATAATTGTTGCTTTCATATAGTTACTTGAGAAATATCATGAAAAATGGAATTAAATGATGTTTTTTGGTGCAAAAAAGTTTTAATTATATGCATCATTTTATTTATAATATATATTTTAAAGGATTTTCTGAGAATCCCTGTTATACGTGAATTTCAAAAAAATTTTTACACCAAAATAAACTTATCATTACATTGTATTTTTCAAGAACTTTTTGAACTCTCCTCCTTTTTTTTAAGTTTTATTTATTTGTTTTAATTGTTATTAACATTGTATTATGTGATACAGTTTTATAGGCACTGGGATTCTCCCCACCCCTCCCACAACCCTGCCCCCATAGTGGATTCCTCCACCTTGCTGCATAACCACAGTTCAAGTTCAGTTGAGATTCCTTCATTGCAAGCATATACCTAGCATAAAGTCCAGCATCTTATTGTCCAGATAAGTTCAGTGGCTTCCTGGGGAGACCTTCTCTGGTCTGAAGGTAGAGCTAACAGAGTAAAGTTCTGGTCAGTTAAAAGCCCCAACAAAACATCAGCATCAATATACAATGTTATGGAATTAATTGACGTAGTATTGAGTGAACAATATGTTAAAAATAATGCAAGTTCAATTCTTCAAAACACCTGGGTTGAGACAGTATCAATGACAGAGAACTCTCCTCCTAAAGCCCCAAGAGACGTCATCATCATTCATCAGCTAGAGTGGCTGCTAAGCCCCAGCAGACATGTATGTCATAGACAGCTCACTGCTTACAAAGAAGGTGGGAAGAGCTTCCCAAATTGAGAGTTAAAATCTTTCTTTAAAAATGCTACCTTCAGGGCCCGGCTCAGTGGCGCAGTGGTTAAGGTCCTCGCCTTGCACGCCCGGGATCCCATATGGGTGCCGGTTCTAATCCCGGCAGCCCCGCTTCCCTTCCAGCTCCCTGCCTGTGGCCTGGGAAAGCAGTCTAGGACAGCCCAAGGCTTTGGGACCCTGCACCTGCGTGGGTGATCCAGAAGAGGCTCCTGGCTTCGGATCGGCATAGCATCGGCCGTTGCGCTCACTTGGGGAGTGAATCATCGGACGGAAGATCTTCCTCTCTGTCTCTCCTCTCTGTATATCTGCCTTTCCAATAAAAAAAAAATAATAATAATAATAATAAATAAATCTTTAAAAAAAAAGCTACCTTCATATTTCATCCACAAATGAAAACAAATATTCAGAATCCTTTTTTTTTTTTTTCATTTTGTCCAAGTCATGAACTTATATTTTCATGAAAGAGTTCCAGACTTGCTCTTTATTTTTTGGGGCATCTGTTGGCAGACAGTCACGCAGCATCTGCCAGGAGAGAACAGTTAGTATTTCACCAGTGTGCCTTTTGCCTGACTTCTCAGTACCAGAGAAATTTGTGGTTTTTATTGGCGGCATTGTGGTCGATAGCTTGGCTAGTGAGAATCCAGATTAGTTTTCTAGTACAGCCTTAAAACATGCCTGTAAGGTGCATTCCTATTTATCTCACATTGAAAGCACAACCTGTGTGAAGGAAAGTAGAGGAGGTTGATTCTCTCATTGTTATTTTCTGTCTTGGGCCTCTTATCAGGTTGGACCCGTAGCATTAGGGTTTGACAGCTTGCCCTGCTGCCCTTTTGCCACTAGCAGGTGTTTTACATATGCACGCAGCCAACCCCCGGCCAGCTTCATGTTTGCAATTTGGGGCATTACTGTTTCTTAGCTTGGGCATTGAATTTGCCCATTAAATGTCCTAGTTGTCTGGAAATGACACCCGCATCTACTTGAGTGCAGAAAGGAACGTTCAATTTCAGTGACAGAAGGAGATGACCTCCTTTACTGCTTAACATTTTTCGTTTTGAGTTACTGAATACAAATGATTTCGTTTTCAGTGAAAACAGTTAAAAATCCAAGAAAGCTCTGGACAGTCTTGTTCTGAGTAATTGCACAGGATTGGATATTGAGATTTGGTTGCATTTTTGTTAAATTTATGCCTCAAAAAGTTGATGTGTAACAAAGAAAGCAATTGGGTTTTTAATGTCTAAGAGGGAGGGTGCTTAGTATGAAAAAGCATATTTACAGTTAGATTTTAATTAGTGTTTGGTTTTATATGTTTTAAATTTAGAAACCAATTTCTTCCTGAAGCTTTAATTAAAGCTCCAATTATAAAATCTTAGTTTGTTTAAATGTCTCATACTTTCTTTTTTGTTGCTCTTAAGATTTATTTATTCATTTTAAAGGCAAAGTTACAGAGAGAGGGAAAAACAGACAGAGATCTGCCATCTGCTGCTTCATTCCTCAAATGGCCACAGTAGCCAGGGCTGGGCCAGGTTTATGCCAGGAGCCAAGAGCTTCTTCTGGGTCTCCCATGTGGGTGCAGGTGCCCAAGCACTTGGAACATCTCCAGCTGTTTTCTAATCACATTAGCAAGGAGCTGTGTGGCAAGTGAAGCAAGCAGGACTCAAACAGGCACCCCTAGGGGATACCAGCACCACAGACAGTAGCCTAACTCACTGTGTCACAGTGCCAGCCAGAATGATTTCTTTTGTTAATACTTAAGGTTTTATTTTCACCTGTTCTTTGAAAATCAGATTTACAAGGAGAAGGAGAGATGCAGAGAGACAGAGAGAGGAGAGAGAGAAATCTTCCATCTGCTGGCTGACTCCCCAGGTGGCCTCCATGGCCAGAGCTGAGCTGATTTGAAGCCAGTCACCGGGAGCTTCTTCCAGGCCTCCCATGTGAATGCAGCAGCCCAAGGACTTGAACCATTCCCCATCGCTTTCCCAGGCCATAAACAGGGAGATGGTTCAGAAATAGAGCAGCTGGGACATGAACCAGAGCCCGTATGGGATGCCAGTGCTGAAGGTAGAGCCAGTGCTATTGAGCCACTGGCTGGTCCCATCCCCTTTTCTTAGGATAGTGATTAGTAGTTTTATAAATTTGGCAGATTACAGTTTATCTAACTTGTACTGTCAAGCCTAAGTTGTCATTTCAGTCCATACATAAGAATTTAGTTTTTCTTTTTCCTGTATACCTCATGTGGGAAGATGAGCTTGCATGTATGTTCTCAGTCTCCAGATCCTCTTGAAGTCTTAAGAATTCTTTAAATCACTCGCTCTCAGCTAATCATCAAGTACAATTAAAGCCTTCAAAGTATTTCCACTAGTTATTAAGACATGTCAGGTTCTCTTAAATATTTAAAACGCCCTAATAACAAAACAGGAATTGTCCCAATGATTGTTAATCAGACGGCTTCAGATATATTTAAGCTTTCGTCATCTTGATTCATTTCTTTATCAAGTCCGCCTTCGCCCCAGTGCAGAGACCCTGGCGACGTATGGCCTACCCCTGTGTCCTCACCACTGGCCTGTCGGCTCGTTAAGGGGAGGGACTGTTGAAGACATTCCATCGTAAGTGACCCTCTCACGGCCTGCGTTGTGCAGCCTGTGATGCCAGCATCCCATCTGAACACAAGTTCTAGTCCCAGCTGGCTCACTTGTGATCCAGCTCCTGACTAGTGGGAAAGCACCCACATTAGAGACCCGGATGGAGTTGCAGAGCCCTGGCCTCCGCCTGGCCCAGCCCTGGCTGTTGTGGCCATTTGAGGAATCAGTGGATAAAGACTTCTGTGTATGTGTGTGCCCCCCACCCTTGACTCTCCCTTTTAAAAAAATAAATCTTCTGTTTTTTTTTTTTTTTTTCCTGAAAGTCCCTTTCTGGATGAAGTCTTCACATAAGTTGGGTTTGTGTAGCTCTCTATTTAAATTGTACTTCTGAGATTCAGATAAAATTAGCATTAAAAAAGAAAAAAAGTCAGATGGGGGGAAAAAAATCCCAGGCTGAAGGAGGACATTGTGAGCACTGACTGCAGTGTGAAGACCCTGAGTTCCAGTGTATCTTGTCCCATCCGTTGACAGAGAAGAAGAGAAGAAGCGTGGAGCTGATCCCGCTCACTGCCCGCATGGTCATGGCCCACCTGGTCAATCACCTGGGCCACTACCCGCTGAGTGGGGGCCCCGCCATGCTGCACAGCCTGGTCAGTGAGAACCACGACAATGCGCACGCCGACGGCTCCGAGCTGTCCTCCGAGGTGTTCCGGAGCCCCAACCTGCAGCTGTTTGTGTTTAACGACAGCACGCTCATCTCCTACCTTCAGACGCCCACGGAGGGCCCGGCAGGCCGGTCACCAGGGGGCGCCCTCTCCGACGTCAGAGTCATCGTGAGGGATATCTCAGGGAAGTACTCTTGGGATGGCAAGGTTTTGTATGGGCCTTTAGAAGGCTGCTTGGCACCCCGGGGGAAAAATCCCTCATTTGTGATTTCGGGCTGGAATCATCACTCATGCGGACCTCAAAAAGACTTTCCTCCAACTGAGGAGGGAGATGACGTGCTCGACAAGTTACTTGAAAGCATTGGCCACACGAGTCCAGAATGCCTCTTACCATCACAGCTCCATCTGAACGAGCCCTCCCCGCCCCCATGTGGAATGAACTGTGACCAAGAGAAGGCCATCATCGAGGCCATTCTACGCCAGCACGCACAGGAAGATGAGTATGTTCGGAGGTGTGGCTCGGACACTGCCATGGGAGTCGCCAGCCAGGGGCAGCCGCCCCCAGTGGAGCCCCGGGGGCCCTTCTATTTCTGCAGGCTGCTGCTGGATGACTTGGGGATGAATTCCTGGGATAGGAGGTAAGACCCCCCACACTACTCCCGTGCTTATTTTATCATCGTGTTCCTGTGTTTGAGTGACAGGAGATGAGAAATGGAGGTTTTTCTGTGAATCTTGATGCTAATTAAAACTCGAAATGGAGGCGCTTGGGCTGCACTGGCATGCAGATGAAATTCCAAGCACTTGTTGGATGTTTTAAAGGATTTCAAGCAGTTTCAATGCATGGAGTTGGTTTTTATTGTTGTTGTTTTTAAGATTTGTTTTATTTATTTGAAAGAGTTTGAGAGAGAAAAGGTGAGACAAAAAGAGATCTTCCATTGGTTCACTTCCCAAATGGCTACAATGGCCCACATTGTGTCAGTCAGGAGCCAGGAGCTTCTTCCAAGTCTCCCATGCAGGTGCAGGATCCCAAGGATTTGGGCCATCCTCGACTGCTTTCCCAGATCATTAGCAGGGAGCTGGATGGGCAGTGGGGCAGTCGGGTCTTCAACTGATGCCCATGTGGGATGCTGGCGTCACTGGCAGGAGCTTTTCCTGCTGCACCACAGCACTGGCTCTGCAACTAGAGTTTTTAATGATGGTTGTGTCCAGTATCATCCCTGCCTTCATGTAGGATGGTGGTGGATAACACAGGGGAATGTCACACTCTACCCTCTGGTCTGATAAGGGAGGCCGGCTTACCAACTCTGAGAAAGGAGCCCAGGAGGAACCGCGGAACCCAGGCAGCAGTGAAGGCAGTGCAGATGGCTTTGTCGGGTAGAACCTGGGCGGACTGAGCTGGACTGATGGTATAGAAGAAGTCTTCAGGACAGGGATGGGGAAAAGAATTTCTCAACCAAGCTGGCTGTGTCAACAGAGGCAGATGCTTGCAGTTCACACATTCATGGGCCACAGAGCCATTCTGTGTTCCTGGGTAGCAATGGGACGCAGTGGCGTCTGAATGCCTTCATAAGTCTTGCTGAGAATGGAGCTGCACCTCTAGGTTCCTGGCATAGACCCTCTGAGTAAGGTGCTAGGTAGATGGATATTAGGGGGTGTGTGTGTGTGTGTGTGTGTGTGTGTGTGTGTGTGTGTGTGTGTGAATGTGTTCATTGACTGACTGGAACATTGCTAACGTTGTTTTGTGGTCACATGATTTTTCTTCCTTCTTTGGTTTTTCCTTTAAAGGAAGAATTTTCACTTGTTGAAGAAAAATTCAAAATTATTGCGAGAGCTAAAAAATCTGGACTCCCGTCAATGGTATGTAAAAGTGTATCAAACCACTTCTGTCCTCTCTGTGCCCGTGTGCTCAGACAGGTACGGTAATGGCAGTGAGTACGTCCACGCACACTACCACACAGGACTTCGGAGTGAGTGCCTTTGCGTGAGGCAGCCAGGAGGCACTCGTCTTCCTTCCATCTCTGCATGAGGAGACAGATTTCCCTAGAGCAGACAACCCATGGCATCCATGTGGAATTATGTCAAGTTTGAGCATGTCTGATTTGATAGTCCATGCTGTACACCAATGCACTGGCATCCTGAAGACTTAGCTTTATACTATCAGAAAGGTGAAAAGCAATGCACAGTGGTTAGTGACTCTGTTACTAAGCCTCATACCCCACAGTTGGTCAGCTCCTCTGATTTGACAAAAACAAAAAAGATTGATTTAGTTATATTTGAAAGGCAGATTTTTACAGGGAGAAGGAGAGACCAAGAGAGGCATATGGGAAGAGGCCACAGGGTCCCAAAGACTTGGACCATTCTCTGTCGCTTTTCCAGCACAGAAGCAGGGACCTGGGTAAGAAGTAGAGTGTCCAGGACTGGAACCAGTGCCCCCATGGGATGTCAGTGCCATAAGCACAGGATTAGCTTGCCATGCCATTACACCTTCCCAGTCCCCAGGTTTCTCATCACTTCACTGTGTCCTTTCAGAAGAATTTTCAAAGATGAACTCACAGCCATAACCAATTTTTTGATTAGGTGAATTGTGTGCTTTGAAAACCTTCTAAGCACAATACAATGCTTCTACATAACAGGTACTTAAAAGTCTTAGAAAAGATAAACTACTTCCTTAGTTTTTAATTCTTACAAACTCTTGAAAGAACAAAACACAAGAAATCCTGCCTTGTTTCCGCTTAATTACCTTTAGGAAAAGCCTAATTTTCCATCAACTCTCAACAAACAGTTTTCCTCCAGTTTATTTTTCAACTGTTTATTCTGCATTTTGTTCATGGCATTCCTTGCTCCTTCTAAAGTCATAAACGTTGAGCTATACTTGGAGCTGTATGTTTTTGTAGGGTGGTGTTGACCAAGGATGGAGGACAGAATAAAGGGCAGCCCGAATCCCAGCTTTGCAAAGCCCCTGTGCTGGCCTGTAAGGAAATGACGAAATTGTTGACTTCATTCATTCACTGCTTCATTTATCGGCTGCTGTCCTCCCAAGGCTCTTACAGGGATGACTTGTGACCAGCTAATGAAACATTTTCACCATCTTTTGTGTTTATATTGGTTTGTTGTGGTTTTTGTTGTTTCGGGTTTCAATCAGAACTCTTAAGTGACACATGCTTAAATTTTTGCTTAGATCTTATTTTCAAGCAGACTTTGGTTCCTGTCACTGTCATTTGCAGGGTCATTAGCAGATTAGCTATGCTGCTTCCTGGTGGTTTGAATTCTAGACCCAGGTATAAACACAGTAGGCAATACACCCCAGTTGAAGTTGTCTTTTAGGTACATGGAAGACTTTTTTTAATGGCCCTTCATGGTATCACTAAGGACAAAGCAAATCAAAGCTGATGAGGCTTCTTCATGGCTGCATGTCCCTTCTAGCCTTCTAAGTGTCTAATGTTGAAGTGGTTTTATTTCCACTGACCCCTGTATAGGCATCACAGGGCTTAGATTTCCTTTCCTTTTCTTCCTTTTTTCCTCCACTTTCCTACCTTCCCAAGACCTCTTCCCAGCTTCTTACTAATATTTCTGTTGCAGCACAAACTGCCCTGTGTGCATTTCCATGTGCTTTTGCTAGTCCAGCTTCCTCTGCAGAAGGGGATAGCTGGGACTTTGCTTATAGATGGCTGAACCACTCACCGGAGAGGAATAAACATTTTAGTGTCAGGAAATACACAGAATTTGTAAAAAGGAAGTATATAGGGTGGGGATTCAAAGGTTCATTTTTAATTGTACCAGGGCCATTCAAAATGTCTTTGTTTCCTGATTTGTCAATTGAAACTTATAGTGAAAGCTCTGAGTGTAAGGAATTGTCCTGAACTCACTAGAGGCAGAAACCAGACACCGTTATTCCTCCCGTTGCCCTCGTGAGATTCAGCTTCGCAGTCACTGCCGTGATCCTTTTTCTCTGTGGGAATTCTGGGAGGTGTTTCTTTTTTCCATGAAGGAAGGACTGTGGGTTCACTTGGCTGTCCCTGCTGGCCTTCCACATCAAACAAGTAGGCCTTGGGGTTCCAGGTCAGCCTTCCAAGCATGCGCTGAATTAGCCCATGCTTCTTGGAGTGAAGTGAATACATTGCTCTCTTGTAATTGTGGCCAATTTGTTCAGTGTTAATGCACTTTAGTTGCATGAGAAACAATTGAATTAGCTCCCTAGGGCACTGTTGCAGTAAAATATGGCTTTGAATAGCTGAGGGCAATCCTCTGCCCCTTGATTAACCTTCACTTGAAGCCCCAACTCTGGAATTTAGTGTCTTTTTGACACCCAGAAGGTTATTTTATAGTGAAAAGTGTTTTCAAAATTCCTTTTGAAAACAATGGAAATAAACTAAGACTCTTGAGCTACAGAGGATCTCAGTAGTTCCACACACTGATCAGGTACCAGCGAAGACTACTGTGACCCTCAGCTTTCATTAGGACATTGCTTTTTCTTTCTGACTCACTACTGCCAAGGAACTGGTCTCACAGTTCCTTCTTAAGGAAAGTAGAGACTGTCTTGCCTTGTGGCCTTTCCACTGTGACCTTACAGAAGATGTAAACAGTATGATGAAAGACTACATGCAAATCACAGTCAACTCCCTTCTGAAATGCCTGGGTGAGCATCTTCTCGCTGCTGCTTGGTGAGGTGGACCTGAAAGTCATGCCATGGAGATTTTTTTGAGGGAGGAGGGGTTGTTCTTTTCTTATAACTTGGCATAGCCTTTTAATGTGACAGCACATGGAAACTGAGCTATCTTGATCTGTTCTTCATATTCAAAGAAAACATCCTAATGCGAAAGGGGAAATTGTTTGTGTCGTGTTTGTGTGTTGTTGCTGGATTACCTGCTTCTTCATACATTGGCTACACAGCTTAGGGATATGAAGTGCTGTTGATGTTGTAATTACCATTTCAAAAGCCAGGTTCTAACAAGGCCAGACACAGAGTCTACAGCCAAGCTGGCTGTCTGCAGTGTTCACACTGTGGAGGAGGTTTACAACTAACAGTCACCTTTGCTCACACCCACTGCCTCCATCAGTCCCCGTCCAGGCTCAGCTCTCGGCTGCTCGCACACTGAGTCCATGAGGCTGCGATGGAAGAAGCTTGGACTTTCAGGAGTATAAGCAGAAGCATTTCAGATGAACTTGAAATTGTTTTATATGTGTTAAAGTCTGCAGAACAGAGAATAACAAAATGCTGAAGATTTTTAAATATGTAGAAAGAACTATTTGAAGAGCTTGAAGAAGCTTTTTCTCCTTTTGTTGAAAGATGTGGGAGTTTTTAGGTCATGATTTATGATTTCTGTTATTTTCTGAGCTCCCAAATTACTATAACTCTTGGAATACGCTAAGCAGATTCTAGGTGCCCCTTAATGAGTGTCCCTGCATGTCACTGTGGGTACCAAATGGTTGTCATTGAGGGCTCCCTGATGCACAAGAACAAGTTTTCTGGCGGAGGTCTCTAATAGAACACGAGGCCCCAGCACCATTTACCACAAAACTCCTCTCCCCTTACAGCAGCTGTTTGCATCGAGAGAGATGCCTCAAAGGGTGTGCTGTTGCATGCTTGGCGGGACATTCAGGTGCCAGCAAGCCAGCATGGATCAGAAGCCCTCAAATGGGTCAGAGGAGCAGGTGGCAAGCCTAGCAGTAAAGACACCCACATGCAATAGCAGAGAACCTGAGTTCAGTTTCCAGGTTCAGTGCCAGACTGCAGCTGTCTGCTAACCCAGATCCTGCGAAGAAATAGTGCTGGCTCAAGTGGTCAGGTTCCTGCTGCCTATCTTGAGTTGTTAGCTCCTAGCTCTGGCTGGCCTTAGCTCCAGCTCTCTCAAGCATGTAGGATTTAACTAGCAAATGGGAGCATTTTTCTTTGGCTCTCTCTCTCGCCCCCCTTCCCCCCCCCCCCGTTTCTTTCTCTTTGCCTCTCAAAAAAAAAAAAAGAAAGAAAGAAAAGAAAAAAAAAAGAAAGAAAAAAATATGTTTATACATATGTCTATATGTGTATGTAAAGTCAGTAACCAAAACATTCTGTTCTTATTTTAAGGACATAATGAGATAATGTGAAAATAGACTTTAAACATATAAATCAGAATACTGAACATGTGAGATACAGTCTTTTAATACAATCAAACATTGTGTAACTTCATTGTGAGAACACATTATATAAGCATTGACACTCAAAAACAGTTAAAACAAGAAATTCTGTTGTATGTCCCTTACTGTAATAAGAAAAAGTGTTCACAAATGTCTTAAGTAAAAATGTCAGTTGCACAATGGAGTACAATAGATTCTCATCTGCAAAAATGCTGTGTTCTTTGCTTATATGTTAATAATGCAAGTGATTTTCACTGTTTTCTTTTTTTCTAATTTTTCATACAAATGTGTTGATTGCCACAATTGTGTGAACAAACTATGTAACTGAATACAAGGAGAGATTTCTTTTCCTCTCTAACTTTTTGATTTAGTTTCAATCAGTCCTACTTATTAAGTAGAAAAATAATTCATGCAAATGATAATATTAGAAAATGTATTAAAATTTGAAGCCCAGTTCCACAACAAAGTGGATATCTGATCATATTACAATATTCAGATATCATACAGGTAATAGAGGCATTTACTTATAAGTTTTATTTAATTGTATGTTTATTTGAAAAGCCTAGAGGGGAGGGAAAGAGATCTCTTCCATTCACTGTTCACTCCCCCAGAATGCATGAAACAACCATAAAGGGCTTGGTCAGTGCTGAGAGCACACATCTGGTTCTCCCATATGGGTAGCAGGGACTCAAATATTTGAGCCGTCAAGTGAGCCATAGTAAGATAGCATTGTGTATATAAGAATTCTAACTCCTTGAAATTTAAAAATTTGCAGCCGTGAGACCCACAAGATCGCTGTGTTCTACATCGCTGAAGGGCAAGAAGACAAATGTTCCATCCTCTCCAATGAAAGGGGAAGCCAAGCATACGAAGACTTTGTTGCTGGACTTGGATGGGAGGTAATTGATTCCATCGGCATTATGTAGGTTTTCACAGGGTTTTTTGGTTTGGTTTTGTTTTTTGCATTCAAGGATAACACAGTAGAGAGAGTCATTCAGCACAGCAGTTGAGATGCCTTCTGGGATGTCTTCATCCCGTATCAGGGTACCTGAATTCAAATCCTGTCTCCGTTCCCAACTCCAGCTGCCTACTAATGCAGACGCTGGGAACCAACAGCTGTTGACTTAAGGAGCTGGGTCCTTGCCACCCCCACAGGAGCCACAGGTTGAGTTCCTGTTTCCTGGCTTCTGCTTGGCCCTAGCCCGGCTTTTGCATGTATTTAATGGGAGATTCTGTGTGTGTGTGTCTCTTTCTCTCTCTCGCTTTCTGTCTCCATCTTTCTCTTCCATTCCTCTCTTTTCTCTCTTTCCCTCTCTGTATGTGTGTGTGTGTGTGTGTGTGTGTGTGTGTGTGTGTTATTCATATCTCTCAAATTAAATAAGTTCTTTAAATGATAGCATAGGTTGAGTTCTGGAATTGAAGAATGCATTAAACTTGACATTTATTTCAGTACTTTATATATGAACTTTTGTTTCTTCTCAAGTTTCCTCATATTTTTATCCTTTGCTTTGAATAAATAGTAAATGGATGGGTTCACCCAGTCATAAGCAGTTTCTAGTAAAATAACACAAATGTAGATAAAGAAGCCATGGTTTTGGCCAGAAGATGGAAAGTAGGAAATAAATCAGTGTCTTGGGACCAGTATTTTGGCACGATGGATTAGACCTCTCCTCGCAATGCTAACATCCCATATGAATGCTGGTTCAGTTCTTGGCTGCTCCACTTCCAAATCAGCTCCCTGCTTATGTGCCTGGGAAAGGAGAGAAAGTGCTTACCCCTGTGCTTACGCAGGAGACTTAGATGGAGTTGCAGGCTCCAGGCTGCTGTGGCCATTTTGAAAGTAAACCAGCAACAGAAGATCTCTCTATGTCTCTGTCTGTCTCCCTGTATCTCTCTGTAGCTCTGCCTTTCAAATAAATAAAATACTTGTTAAAGAAATCAATCACGTGGGTGAAAAGATGATGAAAGAGTTGAATGGAGTCAAAAGTTGACATAAAAATGTAATTACCATACTAGATTGAATGTAGGTCTAAAGTAGGTCCCCAAGATGGCTGATCCTGGAAAACTGTTCACGGAGTTACTCTGACATTCAGGCATATGCTTATAAACACTACAGACATAGTAGTGGAACCTCACCCTGGTTGTTGCAGGCATCTGAGGATTGGTGGAAGATCTAGATACACACATATGTCTGTCTCCCAGGGTGAAAACTCTAAAAGAAAGCACATCCCCAGAGTCTGAAATACGTCAGAGTAGCTGAAATGGACACCAAGAGATATGTGAGGGAGGACTCTCTGGGTGGCTCAGCACAGCCTGCATCTGAGAGTTAGGGTTAGCAACAGGACATGTGCTGAAAAGGGCAAGGGCAGGACACACTTTCTAGGAACCCAAGTAGACTTCCGTATGCAGGAGTTCCTGGGCTGCCAGGAGTGCCTGCATGTGATTGGACATGGCCCAAAGGGGAGTTTTCTTTTCTCAGAGGGTTAGAATAATTGCCTGAACGAATACCAGCTTGTGACAGATTTAAGAATTTGGGTTCAGACACTAATAAATGAACACTCATGGTACAATTCTGAGAATGAGTTATGACTGGGAGACTCTTGGCAGTGATGTCAGTCAGAAGAACCCTTTGGAAGGCGAGTTTAGCAGTGGCCGCTCAGTCATACACTATCAGTGCATGATCCAGACGCTTCACAAAGCACTTCTTTGAATATTGCTTCTGGCTGGAGGAAAGAGCGTTTCCCAAAAGTCCATCAGCAGGGGCAGTGTGTGTATATAAAGCCATGAAGTGTGTCCTTAAGTGAACAGGCAAAAGTGAAATATCTGAGAGTGAAACCACATTCACATGTTATCGTAGTGTATTCTTACAGTTCTATTATCTTATTATTGCTTTTCATCTCTTGCTATGCCTAATTTTGAATATAAAAGTTATCATGTATACATATAGAAAAAAAAATTTGACACAATGGTTGAGGTACTCCATGGGTCCCTGCTACCCCTATGGGAGACCCAGCTTGATATCCGGGCCCTTGCCTTCATTCTGGCTTCACCCTGGTTGTTGCAGGCATCTGAGGATTGATGGAAGATCTATGGCTATCTCTGTCTCTGTGTCTCTCACTGCTTTTCTAATAGAATGAAAATTAATTTAAAAAAAAATGTTTATACATAGTGCATTAGTGCTTACATGGTGGCATCTCATATTAAGCTACTGATTGCAATGCCAGCATCCCTTACAGGTTCAAGTCCTAACCTCTCCACTTCTGATCCAGCTCCCTGATAATGCACCTGGGAAAGAAACAGAGAATAACCCAAGTGATTGGCTCTCTGCTACCATATAGGAGATGTGGTGAAACTCCTGGCTCCTTGCTGTTGTAGCCATTTGGGTAGCAAATCCATGGTAGAAAAATCTGTCTCTCTCCCTCTCTCTGTGACTCTGCCTTTCAAATAAATAAATACATTGTTGGAAAAAAAGATAATACCTATAGGGTTTAGTGATAGGTACAGTGAGAGATAGCTGTTGTAATCTTTGAATGTATCCTCAAAAAGTGGGGGCCACTATACAAACACACACATGTTTAGTGAGTATCACATTTTTTTTGGATTGTCTTCATTTGGTAAGATTCCAGTGCACTTTCATCTTAAATGTTCTTTATATTAATATTTTTATGTTTTCTAATTTCGAGTTATACTCATTTGTAATCAGAAATAATGGTGTAGAAGTGTAGGCCCTAAAAGTCATCTGAGCTCCACCTCCTGCTCAACACAGCTTGCCTTTGACCCCCCTCCTTCTCCCGTTGTGACCTTCATCAGGTGGATCTGTCCACTCACTGTGGCTTCATGGGCGGCCTTCAGCGCAACGGCAGCACCGGGCAGACGGCCCCTTACTACGCTACCTCGACCGTGGAAGTGATTTTCCATGTTTCTACCCGGATGCCATCTGACTCTGATGATTCTCTCACCAAAAAGGTACGAGACCTCTCCAGGAGCCAGGTGTGGCTGCCCACATGGGGAGGCGAGAGTGGCCTGACCTGGACTCAGACCATCTTCTGGCCTTGGCCACACTGCAGCTGGCGATTCATCTGGAACACTCAGCCCAGCACACGCTCCGTAAGCAGGGGCTTGAGACCCACTCGAGTCTGAAATCCTGAGAGGAATCCACTGCTGCTCTTGGGCCCGTCCTCCCCCCACAACACAAATACTTCCTAATGAAAATATTTCCAGCCTCACCGACTGACGGGTCACAGCAGCAGCCTTCCCGACAGAGGCTCCAGCAGGCTCAGGCTGGCTGATGTGAGGTTTGGCACCCTCTGTCCAAGGGCAGGCGTGGGCATGCTGTGACACAGAGGTCTTACCTTGGATGCTTGTACCTCCCTTCACTCCTGCTTGTGCCCCGTGGACAGATTCCTCAGAAATTCATGGAAAGCTTGTCTTCCCTGAAAAACCTTACTGGGGAAACATGACCCTATTGTGAGATGTATGCCTCAGATGACCCTGGCTTAGAAGTCGACAACACCCTCTTAGAAGAGAAAGTTTGGCCCGAGAAGTTCCCAGTGAGAACAGAGCCACAGAACAACTGATTTGCCCTTCCATGGCCTCCTAGCAGTGGGCAGAGCCCATTGTGTCCCTACAACCCAGCGTGAGGAACTGAGGGCCGGGGCTGGCCATCCGGGAACCCCTCCCCCCACTGTGTGCAGATTATCCCCAGGCCCTGGGGACAGGTGGCCCTTTGCTCACTTGTACTTGTAGTTATTGTAGGACCCCTTGCCTCAGTTTCCCATCTTTTCCAGGAGATTGCATATAACCTTGTGCCACTGTCAGGCCTCCCGTCACCTGTTGGTCTAGCTGGTTCCTCTCTCCAGCACTGTGAGCCAGGTGATTGATCCAGACTGCTGTGCATCTCTCATCTCGGCAGTTCTGCTCTGTCACTGTGCTGCTGCACACATCAGGACTGCTGAGGTGGTAGGCAGCAGTGCCTGGGGGCATCAGAACTCGGGTCGCAACCACATCACAGACACCTTCCTAATGATCAAGTGTCTCCAATGACGTGATGAGTATGCAAGTGCCTAGGGTCCCTTGGCTGGCCCCACGTGCCAGAAAGGCCTCCTGGCAGTGGGAGAGACACAGCAGCCGCACCAGCCATGTGTGTGTTTCCCACAGGTGTCCAAGGGCTGGCCCCTGTGACTTGGGTGTTGATAGCTTGTCCTGCTGCAGGCAGAGCTCTTAGTGGAGCGATGGTGGGTGGGAGCGGTCTCACCCTCTGGGGTTCCTTAGCAACCTGGAGCACCCCAAGCTGCCCCCCCACCCAGAGCCCTAAGCAGGGCTTGGCCATTTCTTAATGCCTTGTGCCATTGGTCACTGTCACCATTCTATGAGTGTATTATCATATTTTGATTTGTGCTACTCAAGACTGTGTTGTTAAAATATAGATTTTTGTGTAAAATGTCTTTAAATCATTTCTTAAGGAACATAGGATTAGTGTTCTGGGTTTTGTTTTTTTTTTTTGAGAAAAGACATACTGTTTTCTTGACCAAATCCCATGTCATAAATAATGTTCCAAGGCTTGGCCTGGTAGAAAGAATCCCTACTGTAATAATCAAAATTCAGCCGATACCTTTTGCAGCTCCACGATTTAGCATCATTAGCGATGAACTCTCTTTATCAGGATGTCTCACAGCTGGCCTGGAAATCAGTCACAGTCACAGCGGCCTGCAGCTCCGGGTCTTATTCCAACCAAATTGGCCTAACAGGTTAAAACTCTGAAGTGATTCACGCTCTCTCCTGCCCCAGTCATGGGGGGCACTTTTTCAATCCTGCCATCCGGGTGCAACCCCACACTGAACTCTTGATCCTTCACTGCAGAAATTTGTTAGCTCTGGCTAGATTCGATTTTTCACAGCTAATCTAACTGCTGTAGGGGTTTGCAGAGTGGGGACAGAGCTGTGCTATTGGATTTGTCCAATTCATTTGACTCCAGGACTATAATTGCACTTATGTCTTACAAGGCTTTTATAGCCTCAGGCTGGCCAGCCGCATAAAAAACAAATTGGCAGTGATACAGTATGAGAGAAAAGGGATGAAAGGCCCGCATTATCAGTCTCCAGGCAGCGCTGTTCTGGCAGGAAGTTTCTTGGTTAATTTACAAATACAACTTAGATTTTCGGATGGGCACGCTGTCAGCTGAACAATGGGGATGTGAGGCCTGCCTGTTCCTTAGTGAAAGTAGCAGCCGGGCCCGCTGAGGGGCAGGGACGCTTCAGTCACGCAGACGACTCCTGCTGGAGCCAGCTGGCGAGGTAATGCAATTAGCCGGGAAAGGAGGTCAGCCTGTTAGGTGCGGACCATGACCGGTGTCACCAGTGGCGTGCGGCTTGACGGCAGCAGGCAAGATAACCCTGGCATGGAGGTGCTTAGGAGCTGTCAGGGCAAGGAGTGGCAGCCCCTGGGCTAGTTTTCTGCGGACCAAAGGGCTGTGCGTTTGTCCAGAGCCGGATAAGCAGCCAGACCTGCTGGAGCCAGGTGTGCAGTGGGAGCAGTGGCTGGCATGGCTGCCACCCCATCCCAGGGCATGACCTGTCAGCTCCTTCCAGGACAACATGCCGACCAGGCCACCTCAACAAACTCACTAGCAGGTTTCTAATACAAAGATGTCCAATCAGGCTTCCCCCACACCCAGAACTCACAAAATGGCATCTGTGAAATGGGTTCTCTTCTAAGTGGAGAGGCACTGCGAACTTTTCCGAGGGTTCTGTTCCATCCTGACCACTTGCTCAGACTGACTGTGTTTATTTTAACCTACATGTGCTCTTGTTAAAGGTTGGAGAGGATGTACTTTCGCTCTCTGCTCCAGGTTGATCAGCTGGTGGGCCCAGTGGCCTTGGCCTTTAGTCCTGTGGTTTAGCTAATTAAACTGTGACATGTCTAGAAGTCTGAGGCACATGGTAGTGAAAGCAGCTTTGAGATGGTAAATATTATTGTCACGTAAAAATAGCTCTTCCTTAACTACCAAATTGCCACGTTGGAGGGCCGGGTCCATCAGTGTGGTAATACTCTCCCTCGCTGCACTTCTGAGAACACAGTTGCAAATAAAATTAGGAAAGACTTAGTTGGGTTATGAAGTTGATAACCCAATTTAGAAAGGGGAGAGGAACTGCAAAATTTCAGTAATCACTGTATTAACTCAGAGCTAATGTGGACCAAAAGGAGCTGCCGGGTTTCTGGGTCCTGCCTCTGCTATGGCAGCACATCTGAGCAGTATGTGGGAGGTGGGTTGTTTCCATTGAGATCTGTGCCACAGCAGGAAGTGAGGGGCTAGGAACCAGCCCGAGGTGGACTGTTTGCAAGGTAGAGGACCATGGGTGAGCCGTGAGGCAGCTTCTGAACTGGCCGTATTTCACCTGAAGACATACCTACAGTGGTGGTGGTGGTGACACTGACTGCTGTGTTTTCAGTGCAAAAGGATCGGATTGCACGAGTGTGTTTCAATGTCCTTGCATGTTTTATTTAAAAAGAAAAGAGGAAAACCTATAGCATCTGATGTGGAATTAAAGGGATCTAGAGAATGTTCCGTGTTGTTGTTTTTAACTATTCTCTCTCACCCCTTGTGTGTGAGAGAGAATAGAAGGAAACACAAAGTAAAAAAAATGTGCTGGGTAATTGTGCATTCAGAAAGTCATGGCGTGGTAGCCTAGTGGCTAGAGTCCTTGCCTTGCATGCACCAGGATCCCATATGGGCACCGGTTCTAATCCCGGCTGCCCCACTTTCTATCCAGCTCCCTGCTTATGGCCTGGGAAAGCAATCGAGGACGGCCCAAAGCCTCAGAACCATGCACCCACATAGGAGACCCAAAAGAAGCTCCTGGCTTCGGATTGACTCAACTCTGGCCATTGCAGCCACTTGGGGAGTGAACCATCAGACAGAAGATCTTCCTCTCTGTCTCTCCTCCTCTCTGTGTATCTCATTTTCCAATAAAAATAAATAATTAAAAACAAAACAAGAAAGGCATGGGTACCGGTAAATTGTTGTAGATCATTGGAATGCATGCTCAATCCCAACTGTGTTTGTCCCGGAGACCAGTTGAAGTGTGCCTCGTCAATACAAAAGCTGATGGTACAAGTTTGAGTAATTGTTATTGCCACAAGTATGAGAGAGGAAAGATCAAGCTCACATCACAGCAAGCCAACTTCCTGTTTGACCTCACAGATGGAAAGGATCCTTTCCCTTTGGGATCCAAAGTCCAGAAAGTTGTGTTTATGCTAACCTGTCTTAAATGCAGCATATCCAGGAGCATCCCCCTTCTCTCTTGGAAGGCAGAACTCAACCGTTAGTGTTGACACGACAATTCCCTTTCTGAAAAGTACTGCTGAATGTGGTTACTCATGAGGCCCAAGAAGTGCTTGTTCTGCACTGTGAAAGAGATGAAGCCTCAGGCAGCCAGAGCGCTCAGAACACCTGCTCAGTCAGCCTGGACCCTCTCAGAACTTGCGTTCCAGCCGTTTTCTCTTTATGATCTGGTATCTTTTTTTTGTCATGCTGTGTGGCCCCCTCGAGTGGTTTTCTAGCCAGCTTCCCCAACCCTGGGACTCAGCCATCACCAGAAGGGAGACCTCACGAGGCTGCCCTTGCGTCCATCTGACACAGCTTGGCCAGGGGCGTCCTTGTTGGATGTAGGCTGATGAAATATGTGGGCTGAGTTGTTGCAGCATGACATGGAAGCAGCTCAGAGTATAGGCTGAGGCTGCTGTGGGTGCAGTAGAGATGCCGCTGACCTGGAAGGCCTGGCGCAGGTGCCCAGGCCTGTTCAGCCACGTGCAGTGCTACAGCCTTGGGTGGACCTGAACTCCCATTTCCTCCTTTTAGAAAGAGATAAAAAAAAATAGCCTAGTCTGCCTCAGCGTGATGCTTCCTATGAAATGAGAGGCTCTCTAAATGCTAGTGATTGATGTTCTTACAAAATCTAATAATTATTAGTTTCCTAAGCAAAAAGTGCTTTTATGAATTGTTTTGTTGAAAGGTTTGTTGTAAATGTCTTTTTTTATACATTTTGTAACTTCTGTGGTAATGCTGTGGTGCTCTTATATTCTTATTTTTATTTTCCTAATAGCCATTGATTTCAGAGTTTTCTAGAAGCACAGTAATGTGGAGTAAAAGGCGGGCACTATTACTTGTTTGGAAACATGCTAAGCGATAGAAAGCACAAAGCTTTGTATGATGCCGAATAAAATCCCATTTAAAAATTCTTGAATTACCATAAAGTGCCCGGCACTGACTAGCATGAGTTGTCTGAATATCAGTGAGTTTTATGTATTTTTAGGCACACATGCATTTTTTTTTTAATCCTCGTGGAAGACATCATTGGTATAGCCTCTTTATATAAGTGGCATTTTTTTTTTGCCTCCGAGTTTTATAATTCAATTTGTAAGCCCTGGCCCCTCATAAACTGCTGTTATCACCCTGATTAATCAAGAGCCAATTTGTTCTTGCAGCTCCGTCACCTGGGGAATGACGAGGTCCACATCGTCTGGTCGGAGCACTCCAGGGACTACCGTAGGGGAATTATCCCGACCGCCTTCGGAGATGTCTCCATCATCATTTACCCAATGAAGAATCACATGTTCTTTATCGCCATAACGAAGAAGCCCGAGGTATGTTTCTACCGCATTCTGGCTCTGACCACCCAGCGCATGCCATGTGATTCACTGCAACTCTATGTTAATAGGGACTCTTGCTGCCGGCAAAGGTCTTACAAACATCTGAATTACACATGCTGTTTTGGAATCTCCAAAAGTGGATTTTCAAATAATCTCTCATCGTGAGCATAAAATTCGAGATTGTGTTTAACTGGCCTCGGAGAATTACAATGGCCAAGATATTTACAGTGCTTAAGATATTTAGGGTTTTTTTAAATTTCGTAATTTAAGGACAGTGATTTTATATCTTGGAGATGCTGATTACCAATAAAGAATTGGAGGGACCTCATCTCATGCCTAGCTTTCTGTGTTAACTATGAATGGAGAATTCTACAAGGCCTGACCTCAGAGAGTATTGCTGGCCGAGCCTCTGACTGGTGCTAATGGCCATTGCTCCTGAAGGATTATGATGTCCGCAAGGAGGCTGGCCCTGTGGAGTACGGTACATGATGTTCCTGACAATTGAAGCACCTTGCCACATAATCAATTCAGCAGGGCCAGTTAGTATTGATCCTGAGGATGGCTGGAACAATCCAAAGGTCTGTGTGTCATGCACTAAATGGCTGCAGTTTTAATCCTGGCCATGCCTCTAGTGGTATTTCAGCAATGCTTTGTAAACATTTAACATATTAAGCCACGGAGGAAGAATGGCAGCATTTGGGGCAGTGGAAGCTTGGTAGTAAGTTGATCTTCATTTTTATCCTAAATGGTTCTCCTAAAGAGACATCCCATTACCATCCTAAAAAACTAGCTTCGAGCTTCCAAATAATGGATAGCCGAGTTACTGTTCTGGTTGTCTCTTCTAAAGTGTCAAAGTTGTGAGCATTAAATAAACCAATCAACTCACAAAAGCACTTAAACCATGACTTGGACCAGAAATGAAGCTCCTTCTGTGTTAACTGTTGTGACTGCTCCTGTAGTCTCTCTTGTTATAGTTACTGCCACAGGAAGAAGGAGGTCTAAGTTTTACATCATGCGAATTCTCAGACTAGAGAAATTCCTAATGGCAGAGGAGTTCCGCTCTCTGGCCAGTGCAAGGCCTGACGTAACGGGAACCCTCTTCTCTATTCCCGAATAGATGCCATAAATCACATGTTTGTATGAGGGGTATTCAGAAGTTAATGGGAAGTCGTGCATGAATTTCAAATTCCTTCTTCATCTCTATGAGCTTACTTGTAAATTGCATTTTTCACCAACCCTCCGAAGGCCCCTCCTCTTCTCTCTGATTCAGATGGCTGTGCCTCAGGTTCTCAGATTTGTGTCAGCAAATGGCTCTTAGTGTCAACATTTGTCCTTGGTCCATGAAGAGCACCACTTTAGGAATTAAACTGAAAATTTTAATATTAGAGAACCAGGACATTTAGTTTCTTACAGCTTTAAAAGCGAGAAAATGTGATTCTTTAATATTGAGTATGGATTAACTGGCTTTATTAGTTCACTTTCAGTGTAACCCTCTAAAATGCCATTTAATTCCCTAAAAATGTCATGTTTATTTTTAAGTAAATAAAGAACATGAGAGGTATTTCAGTTCACTTTAAGGTATCAGAAGTGATTAAAAATGGTGATACACTTAAAATGCATAATAGGGATCATTAAAACACCTTTTTAGAATTTCCTGTAAAGTGTGACTTTCATCAGTTTGGCTCTAAATTCTGATGGGGTGAATTGAGCAGATTGTTCGCTTAATATTTTAATTCAGAAAGCCTGAAGGGAAGAAGAGAACAATGACCAACTAGAAATTTAGTGTTATCCCGACATTTAAAGTACAAACCATTACAATGTAATAAAATTAATCCAGACATTTCCAGGGCAAGTGCGGCTGACCTTTTGTTCCCCAACTACTGACCCCGGGGTGAATGCAAGAGGCTCGTGGAGGGAAAGTCTGTTTGTTTGGCTTCAGTCCCTGGTATTTAAATTGCATTCCCTAATCAAATGAAAAGGCTGTCCTCTCTATCAGGTTACAGAATCCATGGCAACATTTGGCCTTTTATATCCATAATGTTAGCCTTTTTGTTTGCATCTAAGTAGAGACACCTGGAGCAATGTTAACATTAACCGATTTAGCATTAATAGCTTCATTATATAAGAATTTCTGATCAGATAGCTGTTACTTTTGTTATATTGCCTGAGCTTGTATTGTTGTCATTTTTTATCTCCCTGCTTGGCAACCAGGCAATGATTTGCAAATTTTTTTTGTCTTGATTAATTAAGCAATATAATTATCAGTAACCGTGATGCAGTCTTTGCCCAACAAAGCTTCAGAGAGAAAACAATGGTAAGTCTGTTAGGATGAATGCATTCCACGCGTCCCAGATGCATGAGGGTATTACGGACAATGAGGGAAAGGCCGCCTGTGAGCGAGGACAAAGGGTGCCGCACAGACTCAACACACTGCACATACCGCCAGGGACATGCTGCGGGCTCCCCGGGACACAGACGCCTCGTTAGATTACAGCTAGTCAGCAGAGATTAATTCTCAGCCATTTGGTGCAATAATTTACCCATTCCCCAGTCTTTTAACTAGTGCTCCTCACTATGGAACTGAAGGCTTTGTACTCAAAAGGTTGCTTTCCCATTGCCTACTTTGAGGCATCTCCAGCAAAATCATTCTTTCAGCTCAGAGGTTATAATGATGCAGCTGCTTCAAGTTGAGGAATATTCTGTTTTGGGAAACATGGGTACAAGTTTAGTGATTGGAAGCAGAGTCAAAAGAATTATTTTAGCACCTGTATATTTTTCTGGATAGAGTGTGTGACTGATTTAACTACATTTATTTCACTGGTCTCTGGGCAGCTATACTTCTTTAAGAATAATTTTAATCCTTTTTTAGGAGGGAGAAAAAAAACCTCATCAGTACACAAAAGTCCTGCTCATTGGATCGAGTCATGCATATTCAAATTGTACTTTCATTCACTCAGCCTCATTAATAGCGTATGTGATAATGTGGGGCTATTTGTAATACAAGCTCTCAGGCAGCACTGCTTCCAAGTTCTTTGAAATTTAACATATTTTGCTTTTTCAATCCATACACCTCCCTTAAATATACAAATTATGTGCCTGGCAGAACCCGCCTCCTCCTAATAACACACAGCGTTTGTGACATGGTATGTGGAAGCAGTGTGGGTGTGCTTGTGCGAGCAGAGAGAGCGCCTGCACCTCAGATGGCCGACTAGCGCCTTGAGCTTTGTATTGAATTGCTTTTTTTTTTTTCATTAGATCAAAGGATGATCTGTGCTAAGCAGCATGCTTTCATTGTTCAATTACTTTAAAAATGAGTCTGTCTCCTTAAATATTGACACCATAGTCCTTTGGTCACAGAGAAGAAGTGTGTGACTGTCAGCCTGATGCCAACAGTCAAAGAAAGTCTTGCTTGTAGGACAGATCTGGAGGACTCCCAGGATTTGTGAAAATGCCCCATTTGCTCTTCAGAAACGTGGCTCTTAATTCTCCACACATGATACTGGGTACCTGTGCTGCGTTGCCTCCCAGTCAGGCACTGGCAGGTAGCCCTGGCATTCGGAGTGTTTGCGTTTATGAAACTGTGTAGATTTGGCTGATTTTTGCAGGGCATGTCTCCCAGACATATATGTCTGGCTGATTATCATGAAGTACACATGCCACAGTGTGACCTTGAACCTGCAGTATCTGAGCCGAGAGGACGCTCTGGGGAAGGGGCCTCATTACTTCAACCAGAGTGGCAGTGTGTAAATAGAAAGTTTGGAAAGTCCTGTGGCTTCCACTTACTCAGCTCTGGTGGGTACAGGTGTGGGGAAAAAAAAATCAATGATGATTGGGTCACTTTTGAGCTTGTAAGAAAGAATAGACACGGAGCTAGGACCCCAAACTGCCAAACTGAAAGGATGGGTGTGCTAAGCAAGTGCCACGCTCTCCTTGGAGCTGCAGTGCTTTCTGAGACACTGAATGCCTCCAGCGGGTCCTCTTGTTCCTCTCTTCCCATGCCTTTCCTTATGTCGCCCTGTCGCCAGGGTGCTCTCAAGGTGGTAGCTGACTTTCTCAAAGCTTCAGCAGCAAGCAAGTGAGTGTGAGAGACAGAGTATGTATGTTTACATGTGTGCATGCTTGCACATCCATCACATGTGTCCCCCATCAGATGACGCATCTCCCACAGTGTTTGCCTAGAGCAGGTGTAAACCAGTGCTGAGAGCCGATGTGCCGGAAATAACAGTGGAATTTGCACGTGTGAGTGTGAGAGGAACTCGGCATTGGCACTTGTGCTTGAAAGATCTTTTAAGGTTACGAGTGTGATCTCACTATGTAAGGATATTTGACTTTGCAACATGACGTAAATTTCTTTTATTTCATATGTGTAATTTACTTCAATATTTATGCCAGGGTCAACATAATCACTTTTTCAATATTAAATCACGCAAATTAAGGTAATTTGGGGAAAATCTCAGATAAATTAACTTTTGAATACGCGAAGAATCATTTCTTTGGAAAAAAAATTGAGGATACCAAACAACTGAAATTTACTGACTTAACTGGATTGCTGTATTCTGTACTGTTTGGGCCACTTGCTTTTATTCGTGTTATTCAGTAAAGGAATGACAGTGAGAACTATGTGGGCAGGCATCTGTCGTGTGCAGATGTTACATTAAAATCAAATTTCTCCTCTAATTCATTGCCACTTCTAATTAGAGGAATCCCCTGGATACAAGGGATTTGTATTATCCCTTTTGTCCAGTGTTTGAAAGACTGTATCGCCCACAAGCAGTTTTCAAAGAATAATAAGGAATATTTATTTATATGATAAGCCTCTATGTAGAAGGAAGAAAGTCTAGGGCATATTAATTCAGTCCTGACTCCTCTTTGATCTTTCATAACACTCTGGCTTTCCGGCATCCCTCCTCAGATGTCTCCCCTTGAAAGTTTCTGTTGTGTTTCCTGTTTCTTTGAGGTCTTGGATATGCACATCTTCATCTCTCCTTTGGCCA